GTCTCACTGGCCTTCATCGAGTTGTCTGACAAGCCAACCTTTTTGTGGAAGCCGTACATGTTCAACTGCCGAACAAACGATGCATAGTTGTTGTGTTTGAACAATTCGGGGATCAAGGTTCGTGCGAATTCGTCCTCGTCTAAAACAATGAAGCTGTTCCCGTCGTCGGACCATCGAATAAGATTCTCGTTCTTGTTGTTATCGAGGAAACTGTGGAAAAAATCAGCCAACATTCCGCGACTGTAACCGCATCCACGGCATCTGGATACCCCAAATGACGACAAGTACTATGAGATGTCGGGGAAAAAAAGGACGAGTAGCGCCTCACTCACCTGCTCAATTTCTGCACAAATGGCGGGATTTGCTTTCGTTTTGCCTGTGCATCTTTCTTAGCGAGAGCCGCTTTCTGTTCCAGCTCTTCATCGTCGTCTACCGTTTCCCACTGCTGCTGAGGGCTAGCAAATCCGTCCCACTGACCGCGCCGCGGGGCAGGAGCAAGCTGTTGGTTGGTGTTTCGTCGTACCAATTGGCCAGACATCTCAGCCCCGTCATTGTACCCGTCCAGCGACACGACGCGATTGTGGCCGGCCCCCATGGTCGGGCCATAGTTGTCGTACAGCGGTGGGTCGGTAAAATTCATGTCGGTAGCCACTGCTGGGTCATTCCAATTGATGTACTGATCAGTCGGTGCGGGGATATCGTGTTGGTACGTCTGGGCGGGGGGCTGCGGGGATGCGACTGGCGCGCGCCGCTTGCGGTTCGACATGGGGACTTTGGTGATTCAGGCGGGAGATTGGAGTGTTTTCTCTGGAGAGTTGCTCTGTGCGGCACGTATCCGCTGCTCCCGGGGAGTCTCAGAAAGAATCTTCACGAGGCTCGGTGCGGGATATCAGCCTTGCAAAACCGACGCGGGCCGCACAAGTCGTGAAGCGCACAGGTGAGTCAGCGCCTGGGATTGAATGTAGTGTCTGAGGAGCGCGTCGTGGGCGCGATTATGTAGGGGTTCTGGGCGGGATTGTTGATTTGTTTCGTTGTTGGTGTTTTACGGAAATATTGGGCGATTGTCGCCAAACAGCCGGCCTGCTCACACAAAGGGTCGGTAGAGGGGTATCAAAGAGGGCGCAGGCAGGCGGCAGGGCGAGAGAAGGCGGTCGTGGAATGGAGTGGGTGGTTCGGCGAAGGGCGTAGGTGGGCAGACATGAGCGGGCCCAGGTGACGCCGAGCCAGCGACTTTATGACGCAGATTGCAGAGCAGCAGGCGACGTAGCAAAGACGGTGGTGGGCTCAAAAGAGGGAATGCCGAGCAAGATGCGCAACGTGTCCGGGCGCACCGTCTGGGCGGAAACAATAGCTGGGGGGAGGTGAGCGCGAGGCGGCGTCGGCGATATAGCGCGTAGTAGTACTTGGATGGTTCGCAGCGATGAGATGGACTTCAGAGTCCTGCCAGCGTCATTCGCTTAGGCGCCCGCTAGCATGACTCGTCGGCTGTGGCCTGGGCTTGTCAGGTGAACAAGTGTGTAGTGCCAACGTCGCCCGTACTTTAAGCTGCTGGCACACTGCAACGCCCATCATGCAATTTCACTATGACAGAGCGACTCTTTCCCGGCCAACTTGTCCGATCCAGCCAGATCAGACTTGCGTTGCATGGCCTGGTACACGAGTTGTCAATCGGCCCGGGCAGAGGTGGAATGATGGGAAATGCTCCAAATGCGATAGATGTCTGCCTACTTTCCGATGCATCCAGCGGTCACATGAGCTCAGCTCAGTCTTAAGGGGCCAGGATCCGCCATTGCAGACCCGGCCACTGTACCCGAAATGGCTCCCAGACGAACTGCATCTTACTCAAAACTACGATCCACGCCCAAGGTTGAGATCCTGGCCACCCATCCGGTCCATCCACCCTCTCCGCCTCAAAGAACCGTGCCCAGACCCTACCATACCCTTTACTAAGAAAAAAAAATTGCCCGAGACACGTCTCTATCACAAACACTACAGTGACACATCGTACGAGTTGACACTGTATATGCTCTCCAGCCCCACAAGATGTCTCACCCTGGTTCTCATCCGAGCTACACATGTCAATATATAAATCATACCATGGCACATGGAAACAATCGTGGGCACCCAGGTCTTTTTGCTTCTGTATATATTTTTTTAACTTCATTTCGCGCAACGTACAAAAGGTTGAGTGGAGCAGCCCGGTGTTCATACTATTCACCTTCCATTATCGTACTGTAGCGCCAGGCACCCAGCATCAACCTAGACTATGACTGATATCCAAGGCGGAAAAGTGGGGGGAAAAAAAGAGAAAAAAGAAAGAACAATGAAAAAAAGTCAGAGAGAAAGACAAGAAACCCACAAACTTCCAACTGTACGCCGAATGCAGCTTCGATCTCATCTTTCTCTTCCTCCGTTCAAAAACTAAAACCCAATACTACAACGTCGTCGGGGACTGTGCGACTCAATATAAATATGTAAAAAAACATATCCCATATGTTCATAAATGCTTTTTTGCTGTATCCAAAGTTTGAAATGCGAGATTGGTTGGGGGCGCGGGCCCAGTTTAGTTCTGGATGTAATGTCTCTACCATCGTGGCATCATTCTCTTCGTATGCATCGTAAAGTCAATCCAGTGTTAGTAGCGCGGCCAATTGCTGGCTTTAGGCCGTTAAACGTTCGTCGTCATCGATTTCGTTCGTGGGCGCCATCGCACGTGTCGTTGAACGAGTGATGATACGTGCGACGACGGTTAGTTTCGTGCGTGGAGCTCACATACTACTGGCCGACAAGAATCTCCACATTGGATTGCGATGATAGCTCGTCGCTGCCACGATTCTGGTGTCCATTCTGTCGCGGGCGGCTGAAGCCTTGTCCTCGCTCAGGAAGCGGTCCACGAGGTTGTCTGGATGGCCGGTCATCGTAGTTGGTGCTGAAGGTACGGTGTCCGCCAATTGGGCCAGGGGCATCCCAAGACGTCATCTGTCGCAAGGATCGGGGGCTGCTATTCTGCGGGTATCCTGATGAAAGCTGCATTCGGCTCATTTCCCGTTCTAGTAAACCATCGTCACGCTGCGACATGGAGCTGTTTGTCGGGGTGCCATTGGGGTTGGTGGAGCTTCCACTATAGCCAAGACCCTCGAGCGAGATGCCACCTGGTCGACCAATGGGGTGGCTGGCAGTAGAAGGGGCAGGTGACGGCGTGTAAGATCTGAGATCTGCGTAAGACTTGGCGCCACGAAGATTAGGCACCGCGTTAAGACCGCCAGGCGAATCGGGAAATCCAAGAAGGCCTGATGGCTGCCTGTTGAAGGCGTTGTAGAAGCCACCCTCTGCGCGTACATCACTGAAATCGGTCGTGGCCGCGCGGTTCAGGTTACGGCGCGGTTGCTCCAGAGGGTTGCTGGCCATTTGCGGCATCGGGGGGCTGAGCCCCTGAGTATCATAAACTTTAAAGATGTGCACCTGGCGCTGATCACCAGTGCCCTTTGAAATGTGCGCAAGCCCGAGCTGATGGGCCAGGGTGTGAATGGTACGGCGCTGGAGAGGAGCCAGGTTGGCAGGGAAAGTCATGCTATCGCGATCCTTTGCCTCCTTGAATAGGAGAAGCTGGGTGTAAAATTGTAGTGATTGCGGGTCATTGAGGTCGACATCTGTGTATTCAGTCAGCACAATTTTTTTTTCTTGGGATGATATCAGGAAAAAGAAAAAAGGGGGGATGGGGGTAAAAACGTACCGACAGTCTTCTGCCCACTGCCCCTCATGGCTGAGACAGGCGAGGGTGATGTGGCAGGCATGTGGGAGGCAAGAGATCCAAAAGATGCCTGAGACTGAAGACCACCACCAAGCGGCCGGTGTTGTTCCTCAAGCTGTCCACGTCGCTCTCGCTTCTCTCGCTCGATGCGCTCACGCTCAGCAAGGGGCAGCATCTTCTTGTACTCGACGCGCAGCTTCCTGCCGTTGAGCTCAAAGTGGTTCATCGACTCAATGACGGCTGCAGTTTCCTCTGCGGTGGTGAAGTTGGCAAAGGCCAGGCCTCGGAAGACGCCATTGTCAAAGTGGTAGTTGAAGGCGTAGGGAAGGGGCAGGCGCAGCTCTGTCATGAGCGAAACCAACTGCTCCTTCTTGACGGCAAAAGGGATGTTCTTGATGACGATGGCGGTGGGGATGAGTTCCTCGTCGACGTCATGGCCGTAGCTTGTGTTCTGCATGGTGTTGAGATTGGAGTTGCCAAGGGCGAAGCTGGGCAGACCCTGAGGCTGCTGGTCCATCCATCCCTGAGCAATGTGGGTCAGCATCGTGGCAAAAACATGTGCAAGAGGGAGTTGGGTGGGCGAGGAGATGGTTGGAGGAAGAGGAAGAGGAGGCTGAAGGGGGGGAGGAGTGGTTGTTGTCAGGGTCCTTACCGATGGCAGTGCGCTGCGACCTCCTTGACGCTGCTGCGACTTGATGCGGGCTTGGGCGGCACCTCCCAGGGAGCCCAGAGAGCCGTTTTGGGCAAAAGCATTCGTGTTCCAGGCGGTGGCGGAGCCCATGTCGTAGGCGCCGTAGGCAGCGCCAGCGTGCATGGTCTGGTTGAGGCGCTCGTAGTTGCGCGGCTGGTCGTAGGGGCGCTGGTGGTCGTCTTGGGCGTACATGTTTTGCTGTTGCGGGACTTGGCCGTAGGCGTCGAACTGGCGCGAGGGCATGCGGTGCAGAGAGCCTGTCTGTGGCTGGGATCGTTGGGCAATGGGCGACCGCGACGTGTTTTGGTCGTAGCCCGACGAGTACATTATATGCGGTGAGGATTAGGGGGGTCTTGGGTCGTAAAGAGGACGTAGCGTGCGGGTTGGAGACGCAGGCAGCGGGCGGCGCAGAAAATTAGGGCGGAGGTACGAGACTGTGGCCCAAGCTCGCGGAGAGGTGAAATGAGCGGAAGGCGACGGTCGCGAACGAGTCTTTGAGCTTTGGGAAAAGGGGGCAGATGAGGCTCGAGCAGCCGCGGTTGAGGGTTGGCGGACTGGCGGGTTGGCGGGCTGGCGGCGGCGGGCGTGTGCTGGGTGGACGGCGCAACAGGAGCAAGGGAGCCAGGGGATGCCAGGCGGACCGGACCCAGCGACACTTGTTCCCCTATCAAGCCAAAGCCGCACGTCTGGGTGGGCCGCGAGCAGCAACAGGGCCACGGGCTAGTCGATGTCAAAAAAAGGGTTCAAATATCGCCTATGTGCGTACAGCGGGAGGGGGGTCGAGGGGGGGCAGTCAGGGACGAAGGGGAGCAGTTCCGGGCGAGGGCGACGGCTGGTGCGTGTGTGCTTTGGGTTGCAAAAGTCTCGCTGAAGCCCACTAACGGCGCGGGGAGGCGGCTGCACACGTGCGCACCGACGGTGGCCAGACGAGAGCCGACTCTTTCTCGTGTAGGATACGTAGGGGAAATATGTGCATGTGTTGGGGCAAGTAAGCAGATGGCATGTGTACACAGCAGAGTATTGGGCGCATGCGGATGTATGGACTCGCAATATACAAGGCATGCTACATTGCCCAATGGACTCACATCAACGACTGGCTGCCACACCTTCTCGCTACTGTGTACTTAAGTAATATCCCTCACACATGGACAGTGAGTAAGTACCCTCCCTCGCTCCTTCCCTCTCTCGTTTTGTCCCACCGTGGCCTCAACAGCAGCCCTTGCTCTGGTCGCTGACACGCCGTTATTACTGTGGCCGGCTTACATGCCCTGCACACTGGCCCTATTACTCGCGGAACCATTTCCAAGACCGGACCGGCCAGCTTCGCCAGAGGAACAATATTCAATAAAATGATGGAGGGGTGCAGATGCAGCCACAGCCACAGCCTTGTATGTAGGTACATGCACATACATGTATTTGCCACTTACATATGCATATGTACACACCCACGCCCACACCCACACTCACACTCACACTCACACTCACACTCACATACTACATGCAGCCAGCCCGCCACAGGAAAGAACCATGGCCCGGTAATCGGGAAGTCGCCAGCTGGCGGGCCGTAGCGTTAGCTTCCCTACTAACAAACTTCCACCACAGCAACACAACAACAATAACAATAACAATAACAACAACACCGCTAGGTACACTACTTACTCTTGCCCTCCCTCCTGCACCCCCCGCCGCCACTTGCTGGCTGCAACCGCCGCAAACATGTCGTCAACTACGGTGAACATGGGGCTCCTGCGCCCCCTCAACCTCATCGCCATGACGCTCGGGGAGGATGACGCGCCCACGAGACGTCGTCAGCTGCACGTTGCCACCAGTAATCTCGCCATTGCACCCTTCACCGCACTCGTCCCCAGATGTGCACAGTAATGATGCTGCAATTCCACCCTATCCCTTGGCTATCCACCCTTTCACAAATCACTACTTACTGTGTACGCCCTCGTCCCCCCCCCCCCCCCCAGTCAATCAAACACAACCCTTGCGTGCGTGCACATACCCAAATGCCACCTCCACCTAACCCCCAATGCCGCTCTTGCATATCCACTCCAAACGGGGCTCCTGGATTCATCAGGCTAGCATCGCCTCCGGGCCATGGTCGTGGATCCCACACGCCCATCCATCCGACTTCCCGCTTTTATCAACTTTCCGACTGGCTGCCCGGCGCTCCTGTCGTCTGAAGGATCACTTAGTCGCATGCATGGAAAATCATGTGATGCTGACCACTTGGACACACACACACACACATTCCCTCCTCTCACCACGCACACTACTTACTCGCCGTTGCAAACTGCCCTGCCCTGCTGCCTCTGACTATGGCTTGCATGGGTGGGTTGCGCAATTCCCCCGAGCCAACGGCTGTGCTTGCTTACTCTATTCTATTTATTACAACACACGACACTCAATCATCAAAATCAAGCAGTCGCGACCATTCGCTCTCGCCTACTCGACGGAACTCGGCACCTGCTGCAAACTGCCCACTAGCTTCCCACGCCTGCATCGTTGCCTGGTCGTAGGGCCCATTGATGTCCCCCTCGGGTGCATTGAGCCAGTGAAACTCCCATTGCACGGGCTCTGGATTGGCATTCTTCCAGTCTTCTCCCGTCTCGCGCTTGTACTGCCGCATGATGGATTCACGCGGCAGCTCATAGATGTCCTCGACACCACGGTCCGACAGGCGACTTGCGCACTCGGTAATCGAGTCAATGACCTGCTTTGCTTTTGCTGCTGCTGCTTCCTGTGATGGGTCTGTATCCACCTCCATGCTCTGCGCCTTCTTCTTCTTCTTGGCCCAGTTGGTGGCCGGTTTCTTGGGCACCGCCTTGCCGTATCGCACCAGGGCCTCCATGGGTGTTTCTCCTACTTCGAGATGTGAGATGAGGGTGGACAGAACATCGCTTGTGACTATCGAGTCTTCAGCTCGCTCCTTAGCTTTTCGCTCGGCATCTCTCTTGTCCTGTGCCTCTTTGGCTTTTTTCATGTCCTTCTTGGATATGCCCTCCAACCACGAGTCTTGAACGGCATCGGGGTCAAAGGCCTTGCGTACATAGTTGCCCGCCTCGTCAAACCGACCCTCTTCCTGTTCTGCACGCATGTTGAAGGCATCCAGCTTGGGCGCATGCTTTTTCTTGCTGCCCGCACCCAGCTCCTCGTCCATGTCAGAGTCGAGCCGGTCGCGCTCCTCATCGTCGCCCTCGTCGCTGCTGCTCTCCACTTCATCTATCGTGGCTTTTCCGCCTTTTGTGAAATCCACCGCTACGTGACCTCCAGACTTGCTGCTTTCTTCTTGTCCCTCAATCTCGGCGTTGTCCAAGAAGCGGAGTTTCTTCTTTTTTCCCTGGTCCCGTCCAAGTTCCTCATCCTGCTCGTCCTCCTTTGGCTCGTCTGCAAACATGTCGTCGTCATCATCATCATCGTCGTCTTTGGTGGGCTTTTCTTTTTTATGGTTCGCCTCCGCGCGAATATCAAAGTTCTCGGTGGAGCTGTCTGAATCGTAGCCGTCAATGTTGACGGCATTGCGTTTGATACCTGAGCTTTTTCCTATCACATCGGCTTCCAATGCGGGGTCCTCTTCGTCGTCATCAGCGTCTGGGGCAAGCGTCGAGGGATTGCGTGGATCGAAGCGAGGTTTCTTGGTTGATGGCTCGTCCTTGTCTAGATGGTGAGTTCGTGTGAATTGCTCGCCGGCACGCTTTGGCCGCGCGGGGTTGTAAGTGCCGCTGGAGCTAGCCATGGTTGTAGCGAAGGCGTAGAGTCGTGGATGTACACAAGTTAGTAGTACTAGGACGTCGAGGTTTGGGCATCCGCCAGTGACGTCTTCGCGCGTTCTAGAAATTTGGAGCTTGGGCCAATTGCGGCGAGCAGCCTGTGGCTCCGGCATGCGCTCATGGCTCAAACCGCTACCCGTAGTGTTTGCCTACAGTTCGTCATCTTTGAGTCTGTACATCTGCGCCCTCTATTGTTTGGTCTTTGTATCCCGATCTCACGTGCCTTTCCTTCTCGTGTCTTCCCCGTACCTAGCCTCCCTTTCGCGCCCTGATTACTAATTTGGAATGGTGAGAGTGACCCCGCCACTACCATCACCCTGTATCTCAATGCCCGACTCACCACATCCACCAGTTCAACCCAAACTTTTACGACCAAGACGACCCCATGGCCATGTATCAGGCTATCCGACGCGGCGGCGGCGCACCTAGGCGCTTTGATGAGTATTTTCGTTGCTACCCCATTGCCATGTTGCCCGGCCCAGAGCGCCCAGAAGCAAACCACGGCGGAAAGGTGTTCCTTCCTCCCAGCGCTCTCGACAAGCTCACCAGGCTGCACATCACATACCCCATGCTCTTCGAGCTCATCAACGGAAAGCAAGACGGAAAGAAGACACATGCAGGTGTGCTAGAGTTCATTGCAGAAGAGGGTAAGATCTACCTGCCATACTGGTTGATGGAGACGCTCAAGCTGGAGCCCGGCGATCTGTTGCAAGTCAAGTCGACCGACATACCTCTCGGCACCTTCATCAAGTTGCAACCGCAAGATTCTTCCTTTCTCGAAATCTCGGATCCAAAAGCTGTGCTTGAGAATGCGTTTCGGAACTTCTCATGTCTTACCACGGGCGATATATTTACTTTTGCGTATAACGACAATGTATACAGTATAGCTGTGCTCGAGACCAAGCCAGAACATCCAAGCAAGGCTGTATGTACCATCGAAACGGATCTGTCAGTCGACTTTGCGCCACCAGTGGGTTACCAGGAGCCGCAGAGGACGAGTGGGACAAGCACCCCACGCAGCGGAAAGGGTGTCATGACTGGCAAGGGCGGAACTCTGCACCCGCACGGCACCATGGCGGATGCGATCAACTATGCAGCCATTGCGCCCTCGGCAACAGCTGCCGCCAATGGGGCAAAAGCAACATCATCCCATTTCCTTACAACCGGTCACAAACTCCTTAAGAAGGGTAGCAAGGCACCCACCCCGCAAGCTTCTACACCGGTCGCAGGGCAATCGACCAACCCACGCCCAACTGTGCGCCGCACAAATGGACCACAGCCCCTTAGGTTACCACCCAACAAGTTGTTCTTCGGGTATGAAATCACGCCGCTCAAGAACAAGGAAGAGGCAGGCGAGCAAAAGGAGTCGAAGCACTTTGAGGGCGGAGGCCAAACGCTGCGAAAGAAGAAGGGGGATAAATAAAGTGCATCGGCTGGTTTTTGTGGGAGAATGTAGGGTTCACCTTGAGGATATCCAGTGCTTCGAAATAGGGGAGCATTTCATGGCGTTGATCAAAGGGATGGTATGGTGGGGATGAATATAGGCACATGGCGTTTTTTTCTTTTCTTTTGCACACCTATACCTTATGGTGGTTAGAAGATATTCATGAGAAATCACATTACTTCCTTCTCTTGTTGTTTGAGCATGTTTTACGTTTCTTGGTAAATTGATGTGAGGTTGAGAGGTGACGTGAAGGTGGGTACGTATGCAAGTAGGTCAATCCGCAAGATGACTTTGTTATTAAGGTATTTCACTACTACCTGATTAACTCCCCTTCACCCCACCCATGAATCCATGTGAGTAATTGCAATCCTTTATACGCCCTGCCCTACCCTTTCCGCTCCAATCCAGATGAAGCAAGAAGCAAACGGCCCATTATTCCCAAGTATGATCGCCATCATGGAGATACATATGAACCTGAACCCTTTGACAAAAGAGAAGTATCCCATCCTCCTACCATTCCCAAGTCCCTCGTATGGGGGGAGGGGGAGGGGTCTCAGATCTCATCTTCAACCCCTTCTTCCTCCTTGACGCTGCCCAAGATGGTATCAAGCACCTCTTCCTCCTCTTCCTCTTTCTCTTCCTTCTTGACACCCGTACCCTTCCCTCCCTTCCTCGCGCGCGGCTTCTTACTCGGCGTGTCCACGCCGTCGTCGTCTGCGTCTGCGCTGCGCTTCCTCGCCGACCTAGGCGTCTTCTTGCTTAGCGTGTCCCGCGCTGTATCGCCCGCCTCAGACCCGTCTGCAGTGCGCTTCTTGGGCGTCTTCTTCTGGGTGCTGGGGCCGGTGCCGCCTTCGGGGAGGGTCCAGCCAAGTTGCTCGTAGAGGTCGCGTTGTTTGATGCGGAGGATGGAGATGTGATTGCGGATGCTGCCGACTTTGGTGCCTGTGGAGGGGTGTGTGTCAGATTTGCGGTAGGGGTTGTGTTTTGGGGGGAGACATGGGGGGGAAGACATGGGGGGGGACAGAAGGGGAATGAGTAGAGGGGATGGTACCTGGGAAGGCAGTGGAGAGCTGCTCGTACTCTTCGGGCTTGACGTAGCGGCCTTGGGTTAGGAGGAGTAGCTTTGCGGGCGTTAGCGGTGGGGGTTGGGTAGGTGGGGTATGAGGAAGTTTACCTTGAGGTCGTTTGGACCTTCCCACTTGAAGGCCTGTGTTTGTTAGTCATGGTGAGGTCAGGTTAGTATCGGGGATGCTTACTCCATCAGTGGCTTCGCCGTTGGCTGCAGCTTTCTTTGGTGGCATTTTGGTCTGTTGCTAAGTTGCTAATCTGTCTTAGGGCTGCTGTAGCGAGATGACACGGGTTGGCTGTGTGTGTCAAGATAAGGTGTCAAGAGAAGAGAAGTGATGAAGAGGAAACTTGTCAGAGGGATGACGGGAAAGAATTGTCTCTGTTCAGTTCTGATATTTATGGCAAAAGCAGTGAGTGGGGAGGCGTAAGGCCAAAGTGAGAGTGAGTCTGCTTGCATCTTTGGGCACCGTGGGCTGGACAAGGAGCATTGGTTTTCACTTTCACTTCAAACACCAAGGGACAGGCACACCGAGACAATGTTCCATTACACACTAAATACGTAAATACGTGTAGTAAAGGAGGATCGATAGCGTGTACCGAGGAATCGTGTAGAATTCTTTGATACTTGGCCATTTTTCACTTCACACGCTATGAGGCTGACGAGCCGCTCGGAGTAAGTAGACTAACTTAGCATTTTCTGTAGGCTTGACAAAACAAGCCTAGGCAAAGCGGCAATGATTGAACTGCCGTCAATCTACAGGGTACGCTTGTTAGTTCACTTGCAGCGCAGATGACATTACATATGTATGTGAATATGTACGTCTATATGTACGTTGCAGGCCAACGAAATGCAGCCTCACTGCCATGGTAGTTCTAGACTCTGGCGCTCGGTAAGTGGCCAGCAGCTGAGCCAAGTGACTTGAGCATGAATCAAAAAGCATGGCATGGCGATGGCGGCCCGCGGCGGACCGTCGTTCATGTCTCGTCAGAACATACGACGGAGCAAGCAGTGGCAGGCTCCAAAACCTGATATGCGACTGTTCCTAAATCTGGGCATAGCCGTAGTCGGGGTCGGGGGGTCGGGGTCCCGGTCGGGGTCCGGGACGGGGTGAGCTGATGTCTACATACGTCGCCGTGGCGGTGCAGTGCCCGGCGAGGTTTAAAACAACGGTCGCGGTCGTCGACGTGGACGTAACGTAGAGCAGAAGCCTTGCCAAGCCGACGGAAGTTTGGGGTGGGTCGGGCTGTGCGTCTGCTTGAAATTTAGGGCTTACGTACAACCGCCGGTGCTCCCGTACCTGTTCGCTCGCCTGTATCGCCTTTTTTTCCTGCTCGCCCTGGCCAAGTGTACGATACTTACGACACCAGTGCCCGGGGAGCAAATTGCTTGTCAGCGCCTTCGCCGAAGTGGCTGCTCTGCCGATGCCGAGTGCCCATGCCACTTCGCCCAAGTCACTTCATCGCCAGCGTGCCGTGCTGATGCCACCGGGCCCGCCGGTAGCGCAACTGCTTCGACAGCCTGCTCCGTCTTGTCCGTCTTGTCCGTTGTCTTCACCACCTGTTTTGGCCCGAGTTAGTAGCGAGCGAACCACAAACCACAGACGTTCATTACACACTGCAGAACCATGTGCGCTGCTGAGACACGACGGGGGTCGTAGCGTCCAAGCCCCCGGCATACCACTCGATAGCCAAGGCTTCCGCCCGGGTACTCACTGACGAAGCCTGTCCTCTGTGGCTTGATCCATGGTCCTCATCCTCACACACACATGACCACGGTCCTACCGCCTCGACGTGGCACTCCTGGCCAGTTGAATCTTCCCCACAGCCTCCCACCCTCTCCCCATCGGCTTAGCGTCGTGTGAATTGATCTCTTCAACATGCTTAACGCTGGGACACGGCCAATGGGATCTACACCAGACAAGGGTATGCTTCCGACCGTCTCCAGCGTCGACACTCTGTCTACACAGCAAGCCTCCAGGAAGCTTTCTTCCTGCCGCGTTTTTTCTACCATGCTATCTCATGTATATATTTCTCCCCGCTTCTTGGCTGAATGTCCGTCTATCCCTCTTCTCCGAATTTTGGTTTTGACCCGGCTTCTGTTAGGAGGCTCAACAGTTTACTGCCACCCCTTCGTACCACCCCTTTGACAGTCCCACCACCCTAACACCACAGAATGTGTATCCGCGTCGTTGAAAAGTTTCCCGTCTGCGGCTGTACTTATCACGTTCACTCTGTGGATCGATGCGCCTCGTATGGGCGCCATCCAGTAGTGGACAAGATCATCTGGGTTGGCGCGTCCTGTCAAAATCATGGCACTCAAGCAAAGTGCCAAAGCCAATCTTGCTGAGACTACAAGCATATCCAGCACTACTCCAAAACACACTACTCTTTCAGTCTGAGAACCATGAACCAAAGTCGACCTGGTCTAGCAGACGGATTTCGAGCATTGTGGGTAAAAGTGTTCATGGTAGTCCCGGAGTTAAATCCGACAGAAAAAAAAAGACGTACGTGTAAGTGCTGTGATTTCTGTTACGCAAAACGTGACTAATACCAGGTTATCAGACAGATGGCTCCATCATCACCAATGAACTATTGGTGAAGAAGTCATATCACACAGTTGTGGTTCTGCTGTTGAATCCCCCCCCCCCCCCACTCACCGCCAACTTTCGACATGCTTGCAAAGACAGTAGGCACTGACAGACCAGGACGGTAATTCGTCTGGCAAAGGCAAAGATGAGGCAAAATCACATCGAGAACATGCGTGATGCGAAACTGGGCTAGAATTCTGCATCTGCGCGCATACCTGTTGTGGGTTTGCAAAGGGTCCCAGCACGCTGACTGTGTTCAAGAAGCCTTACAACAACCGTGAGTGAAAGATTGACTAGGAGCCTCCCTGGCCCTCCATGTCATAGCTCGCTCAGAATGGCTCTTGCGCATTTGAAACGTACAACGGTGAACTTTATCCGGCCGTTTAGCACGCCTTGTCAAGGCGGATCCGACACCATCATCATGGTCTTATCTACCCATCGCCTTTTCGCTAAAATGGCCCCGCTTTTTACTCGCTTGGGAAATCTCCAATGCGGATACTTTGGCCGTTTTCTCGATTCTTCTCCCGCTTCAGCCCCAGTTTTTTTTCTCTTACGATTCCGTACGGGCAGGAGCATGATCCGACGCCTCACCCGACAAGCCACATCGAGGTCATATTGCGAAACCCTACTTTCATGTACGTACATAGTATCATGTTCCGATAAACTATGTTTCCAATTGCCTGGATCCAACCAAGGGCTGGTGGTTGAGAGAGGTGCGGCTGTACTGTGTAGAAGCGCTTAAGTTTTGTGGGACCCGCATATGCCAATAACCCTTCCCCCCCCGTTGCGGCAAGGAAACCCCCTTTTTTCTACTTATCCAATGGCTCGGCATTGCGCACCAACACATGTTAGATACTCTACAATACAAAGTGTTGCATGGAGGTTCAAATAAATAAACTTCTGCCAGACGGGTAAAACGTCCAAAAGGAACCTAAAAAGCCACAAACAAAAAGCACGGATACACATCTGCCATCGGGCGCTCCGTCAGCGCAGTCTCGGAAATTAACCTGTTTTTTCTTGTCGTTCGCAATGACATGTCTGTTCAATTGAGTATGGCCTAGCGAACATCACTTGAGCCGCAATATTATCCCATCGGCTTGGCGTCAATACGCATTTACGTACTTGAGGTTTCAAGTGATACTGTATGCGGAACACGACCACAGCCAAGTCGGCCTTACCCGTTTATCTTCAATCGTCTCCTTTTCCTTCTGGAACTAGGCTTCTTTCTGTAATGTTCAGAAGCAAATTGGATCATTGAGACACGTTGTAGTCAGGAATAAGGAATGAAGATATATGTTGCAGAGTTCTATGATTTCATCTGTCTATGTATATTTTCTTCTTCTTCTTCTTCTTCTTCTTCTTCTTGTTGTTGTTGAAGTCTTACTGCAGAGACTGTAAACGTAGATTATTGTCAATACTCCGAGGGGTATTGCAAAAATGGATATCAAGACCCAATTGCATGATCGAGTTTCGTATAGAGAAAGAATGCAGACCGGAAAAGAATATATCCACGTGAAACACAAACCACCACGTGCATATGCCGTTGATCAAGACTTATCCACTGACTCATGCCCACTTCAAACCATGCCCATACCACGATCTCGTATGCAAGATAACTTCCGCATTGAGAGGGGCAAACAACACAAGTACTCTAGTAGTTCCAAACCACATCTTGTTTCCCTAACCCTATATGCATCCTATACCTATTCTATATACATTTCACACCACTTACACGGCATGATTCTCTATCCCTGTCCTCTCTCAAACCTTCTGCATGAATCCTCTCTATCAACACCTCCCTCATTAATCCCATCCTATTCCCGCAAAAAAACCCCCTTCCTACCACCCCACACAGGAGAAGCCCCCTCAAATCCCGACTTTCCTACCCGAAAACCAAACCCGCATAACGCATACACGAACCCCAACCCCAACCCCCATGATTCCCACCCCCACGAATGCTGACAATGCAAGAAGGGAAGATCACGGAACATCATCAGAACCCTGTTTTGCCGTGATACTTTAACTCCACGGACTAAAAAAAAAGCTTTGGGGAAAACGGACCAAGTTTCTAAAGCAGACAACACAAACAGCTGAAGGAGAAAGCAAGATAAAGAAAGCTCACCGTATCGGACGTACTATCATAACTTTGAAAATACAAATAATCACTATGCAGCTTACTTTTCCATTTGGAAAAGAAAGAAAGAATGAAAGAAAGAAAGAAACGAAAACAAAAAGGTATAGGTTGGCGAAGAGTCAGGCAGTGTGTATGTGGGGGGAGGGGGGGAAAGGGGGGGACGAGTCAGGACAAACAGGGTCGGACCTCTTGAATGATTACAGCTTGCATCTTGCATCTTTCAGCTTCTTGCATGCACACACACACACATACACACACGCACGCACAAGCACACGCGCACACACACGCACACACGCACACGCACACAGGCGACCTGCGACCTTGCGGGGCCCTGCGGACACTGCGCCTCGCCTTCATCTCCACCAAAAAAATATTCTCCACACGGGAAACACGTGGATAAGCATGGCATAATTGTGAGCCAAGACGGAGAGATAGTTGGATGGAAGTAGTAGGTACAGCATGTGGATAATGATGATGATGATGATGATGATGGCATGATGGTAAGCCAAGACGGAGAGATAGTTGCAGTAAGTAGATGCATGGCTCGAGTACCTGTGTATTCCTCCACTTTCACAAGTCAGTTTTAAGGAAATGCGCGGGATAGTCGGCATTGAACTCGTTTCTATTTTCCCGGGTTTACACTACTACCGCAAGGTCTATCCCTGTTTTCTCCGTCTCTCTTACATCTCACATGTCAGATTCTCACCTTCCCAACAACTAGGTAGACTATCCATCTTGTTTTTTCGGGGGGGGGGGGGGGGGCTACATCAGGTCTTTCCCTTCGGGCCTCAAGTCTCAGGCTTCCAAACTAACCCCTCCACCCCACGCATGGACCCTTTTTTCCCCACCATAGTTTTGCTCGTAAAACATGAAGAGCAAGTTTGCACAAGAAAGAGAGAAAAAAAAACAAAAAGGTCGTTCGACATCAAAGGCCATCAGGACCCGCTCATGGATGCAGAAACAAGGAGATACTCAATAACAAGTAGAGCGGGTAAACAAAGCCGAAGCGGATGGCAGGACCAACCAAAAAAAAGCAAACGAAGAAATAAAAAAAAAGGCTTAGTGCACTTCGGTGGGCTCTTCCTTGGGCTTGTACATAATGGTAGTCAGGAACTGAGAAGAAATTAGTTTTCATGTTCAACATTACAAAGACTGAGAACAGACGTACCTTTTGCTTATATCTTGTCGTGGCACTAGTGGCCAAGATATTGTCCTTGATGCTACTTGTAGCCAAATGATTCAGCACAGTGTGATTGGGGTGAATCAACACACTGCTGTCGTCTTTCATGGGCGTGGTGCCGTTCAAGATGCTCTTGCCTAGGAAACCCGGGAGCGTGGGTGGTGTGGGCAAGTTGTTGGTCATGGCATTTGCGCGCAGGAAACGCGACGAGTCTTCTGGGGCATCGAGGTCAAGCAGGTAGCGGGGAATGTTCTGATGGTATTTTTTAGTGGGCTCGGGAGCTGGTGGTTTGGGTGGCTCGGGCAATGGGGCCTTGATGGGCTGCACATCGGGTGCTGGTGGGAGGACCTGAGGTGGGTACATGCCCGGGGGAGCTTGTGGTTCCTGCATAGGCGTGACAGCATCTAGCGCACCTTGTGCATCCTTTGACGGGCTGGCAACGGGGGGCTGAGGCTCGGGGTAAGGGACTTCGATGTAATTGACGAGAATGTTGGTGTAGTCTACGGCGGTTGGCAACTTGTCGCTTGTGCGCATATCGTTGTCGACCAAGAACGTCAGATGGTGGGTGCCTGGGGTAACCGAGACGTATGCAGAAAGGGCGTCTTTCTTCTTGCTGGGGCCGTTGCGGTGAAGTCTGTATTTGCGGTTCCAGCCTGCAAATGTGCCCGTGACGTAGACGCGTTCACCAGGACCTTCCCATTCAATTAGGGTTGGCACAGTCGGGCGGCCGGTGCTGGGGCCCTTGAACTCCTCGCCGAGGTCCTCGTCGTCGGCCGTGGTGGTGCTGAGCATCGAGGAGCGGCGGGGCAGCATGCCCTCTGCTTCGTTTTCGTGGATGGGGCTCCATATCTCCTCGGGGGAGATGATGGGCGATCCGGGCGTGTGAACCTCTTCCTCGATGGGCAGGGGCATGCGGGGCGGGCGACTGAACTGCGACGGTGGGATGAGGTAGTCTTGCGAGGCATCGGCGGGGTCGATGAGGGAGACGGTGTCGGCATCTTCTCGTGGGGGAGCGGGGACGTCTACGGGGGGAGTTGGGGAGGGCTCGCGAGGAGGCTGTTGCTGTTGCTGTTGCGCTTGTTGTTGTGGTTGTTCTTGTGATGGGGGTTGTTGTTGTTGTTGTCGCTGTACTTGCTGCTGTTGCTGTTGCTGTTGCTGTTGTTGTTGTTGTTGTACTGGCACTGTAATGGCTGCCTGCGGCGGGGTGGTGGTGGTGGTGGTGATGATAGAGGGTGCATCGCGGGGTGACTTTTCCTTTTCCCTGTCCCTCTCGCGGTCCTTTTCCTTGTCGCGATGATGGCCGCGGTGGCTGCTCTGCTCGTTGCCCATTGCTGCGTCGTGAGTGTTGGAGGCGTGGGTGTTATGGCTGTGGCGGGCGCTGAAGTGGTCGTGAGCAGCGGCGCGCAACTGGTTGGCCACGGCCTTTGTGCTAGTGCCAATTGTCTGCGCCCTCCCTCGCGAGTGCGGGCGGGCAGAGGATGGCTGGCTCTCGGCGTTCTCGAGGCTCACGGACGGGGCAGCAGGAGCTTTGGCGGCGCTGAGGGCCTGGATCGACTCTCGCCGTCGCGCCGAGTGGTAGTTGCTGTGCGGGGGGTGAAGGGTGCGCTCGGATGATGGTGCTTGCGAGTTGGGGTTGGGGTTGGGGTGCTGGCCATGTGATGTCGTCACGCCCGTGGGCGACTGCGGGTTGGACGAGGCCGTCGTCGAGCGCGAGTTCTGGTTCCCCATCTGCTCTGCCCGTTCCCCAAGGCTGTGGCTGCAAAAGTTGACGGCAAGTCGCCAGAGAGGGCGCGGCAGAGGTGACAGAGGACAGGACAGGACGCAGACCAGCCCAGCCTCAAGCTATCGTATTGGTATCGCGCCCGGCCTGCACCCAGCACAGGGATCAACATTTGCTGCGCTGCGTCAATCGCCGATAGCCCTCCGCCCTGCCCAATCACACGGCCCGACATGCTGCCCTACGCCATGCTACTACCACTCTACTACACACTACTACACAGTATACACCTACAAGTACACACACTGCCAACCTCTCCCGTCTCCACCTCCACGTTGCCTCCACGCTGCTTCCATCGCCATCTCTGCCACCCCCAATGGATCCCATCCTCGTCCTTTCAGTCGCCCGTCGCCTCGTCCTTCATCTAGCCCGCCTGGCCTGGTGGCCCATTGCCAAGCTCATCACCCTCGCCGTCATTCTCCTGCGTCCATTCTATCTCCTGGTCACCGTTGCCCTGCTTCCCTTCATCCACCTTGCTCACGCCCTCTTCCAAGTCGTCTCCCTCCCCTTCACCGTCAAGTGGCTAGAGCAGATTGAGGTAACCCCTGATTCATCTCTATTCTTCTATCAACGCGCCAAGCTAATTGCTGCAGACACTGTACGTCTTCCTTGGAATAGCTGCCCTTATAGGATCCATCACCGGCACCACTCTCTTCATCATGTTCAAGTTCCTGTCGTCCACCCTGAGAATTGATGCTCCCATTGTCCCTGAGAAGCCTGTCGAGACGAGGACGGCTGCTCAGTACCGCGCTGAACGCCGTGCTAAGAAAGAAGAGGCCATCCATCACTTGCCAGCCATCACCCCGGTTGTTCTTAAGAAGCCTGCTGGGCCCCGCAGGCGCGGACTTCTCTCCCAGGCCATCATCGAAGAGGAGGATTCCGATTTTTGACCCTTGTTCAATCTGCCTGTTCTTTGTCCTTGAAGCCCTCCCAGTCCACCACCAAAGTAGAACTCCCAGAGTTTCTATGTGACGTCACCGAGTGTATGCTGCATCTCCGGCGTGCATCTACCACTCTGTTACTTGTGCCTAAATGGACCCGGTCCAAAGCGTCTTCGCTCGTGGTTTTTGCGTCTAAAGAATATAGATCCAGGGATACTGCCGATAATACAGAAGGCTGTCTCTGCAATGTGTATGGCGCCAGTCGCATCAACGCTTGGTCCCGGGATCTCATCGTCCTACATGTTGGCCTTGTTAACTGCAGTGTCGCCAACTGCCATCTTGATTCTCATCACTCACAGTGCAGCTCCACTCTCCCGTCTATCTGCACTGGCCATGGTGAGCCAATGAAGCACCACAGCCGCCCATGTGACTATGACCCTCTGTGTCAGCAAATACCACTTCTCATGTCACAGCAGTTGTGTTAATAGTGGCAGTAGTCGCACCATCGAATATGCAGATTGTAAAGCACATCTGGAAACACATACGTCAGCACAATCCTCACTTGCTCGACATCAGCTTGACTGACAAATGCCGGCATCTTTCCTCGGTATATGCACAAAGCAGTGAGGTTGGCAGAAGCAGGTAATACGACCAAGAGGCATCCCACCAGTGTCTTGAACAGAAGCTTTTCGACCCTTCGTACCAGAAGTTGGTTGGCTGGGTGAAGATTAACGGCTGTTCTCTGCTTCGCCCGACCACAGAGGGTTCCGATTACCCTAGCCAATCTACTCGCAAACCCGGCGCCAGAAGGTCGGTTTCCTCTTACCACAGGGCTAAGAAGATAGATGAAGACAAGAGTGAGGAGCACGTTGATAACAATGTCGCATACCAGCAGCGGTATGATGGCGTATGGTTGCAGGCCGATTCGGCAGCGGCCGTCGGCTTTGGAGAGCGAAGTGATGGGCACGGCAAACCCAGCCACGCCAATGGCCCCAAGACTGACGCAGATGCCAATGGTGCTGAAAATCCAAAGGTAATCGCTCCATCGGGACCGGTAGGGAGCCCTCAGAACGTGAATGCGCTCGACAAGGAAGAGGTACCTGATGACAGCAACGTCAGTGAGCCTGCTGCCGTACCAAACAGTGCTCATAAACATGTCTGCTCAACTCAACATACATGCTCACTTTGCCGGCTGTGTAAAAGAGCAGACAAAGCCTTATCGCGGCCCTACAAATCTTGTCTGTTGTGATTCCGAGGCCGTTGTGAACAATTGCAGCGGCGGTGATAAAGGTCATGGCAGAGATGTAGTCAATGAAGATGTAGACATGTGTCAGTGTCATGTTCTTGAGCAAATGTTGGTTGAACTGGCGTATCCGGTACCCTGCACATGTCAATCGCTATGCTTTGACTATGCAGACTGCACTCGGATGAGGACCGCACCCAGTAACCCTGCCAGCAGACCCAGGCAGATTTTGGATGTGACCACCAACGAGATGCGTAGCTTGACAGGGTCGCTATATTTGAAAGATGCTTGTCGGACGAAATCCAGTCCATCGTGTGTTGTTGTGGGTACCGGAGTCACATAGGCCGTGGAAACTGCCCAAATTGTGTTGAGGGCAAGGAAATGTCGCATTCGGGAAGCTATGTCTGTGCAAGGGAGTTAGGTAGGTATGCTAGTCATACTGAGAAGTCATGATAGGTTAGTAGTGTGCAGTGTGTAGTGTGTAGTATAAAGAGTGTGGTGTTTGGTGTTGACAAGACAATTGCTATTATTAGCTCTGGTGCAGCTGCGGCCATGGGGTCATGCAGCCATCTCATCAAGCGGAAGCGACAACCACTCAGGCGGTCCTTCCAACATTCTTCAGTAATAGCACGTGACCAGTCAATGGAGCGAAGTCGACCAGACGACGCAGACGCAGATGCACAGGGCTACGATAACACTGGGAGGGAACAAGACGCTAATGAAGATGCGGTGTACACGACAGCCAGTCGTTACGGTCAAACCCAGCAACGGCACGTGAGTGTGTGGTACATGTGCTAGACACAAACGGCTGTTGCGGGTGATTGTACTTGAGAAGATATGGTTAGGAGAACCGGGCATCATGTACTTTGTGAATATTCGTCGAGTCAAATGGCCTAACAGGTTCTTGGTAGTGGTACGTCATATGCCTCGTCTCATCGCATGGTGGCTATCAAGACACGGCAGGCAAGGTGGCAGAATCTGCACCGCAGACGAGGATAGCGAGAATAGCGAGAATAGCGGCCATGTTCCTGGCCACTCACTGCAGGGACTGGACGAAACGTGGATCGGTAGCGGGCGACCACGCGCGGCACCCAACGGTGTAGACAAGCGTACCGCGCGTATTCGCTTCTACACCTATCTTCTCCGAGGGTGCCAATCCGAGTAGCGCAAATAGAGTGCGAGGCGCTGCAGCAGTCGTCTCTTGACGAGGTCATAACGGGTGGGTTGGAGGGCGCGGCATGCTGCACCGTCTCGTCATAGGCTGGGTGGTGGAGTGGCTACAGCAACGCCCAGGCCTGTGTGACCGAATCCAAGGAAACAGCTGCAGTTCAGGAATAGCAAAAGTCAGGGAAGGCGAGGCGAGGGCGAGCTGAAGAGAGCTGAGACGAGGGCCGCGCAAGCTGCCTGTGGTTTCGGGCTCTGCCTCGCAGGTGTACGTACTCTTGGTGAGCGGCGTGAGAGCAAGCGGGCGAAGCAGAATCGACCTAGAAGGAGAGGGGCAGCAAAGGCCCAACCAGCAGCGGCGGCGCATCTGCATCCACGGTTTTGGTGCAGTTCGCATCAAATGCCGCCTGAGTGAATGGCGGCCCCCCCCCTCTCTCCCCACCCCTGAACCCTGGCGCGCTGCATTAACCGAGATTGGCGTCTGGCACTGCCTCTCTCTCTCTTTCGCGCTCTCGCCCGCTGCGCCTAGCTTTTTATTGCGCCCACTGCCTTTCTCTCCTTCTCTCTCCCGCCTGGCACTGGACCGACGCTGATGCTCGTTTTGGCTTGCTGTTAGAGTCTTGCTTCCTCACTCCCTCCCTCCCCGCTCCCGCGACTGCATCTTGTCCCTCCGGCCGCTGCCCCGTGCACCACTACAAACTCCGAGGAAAAGGAGACTCGCAGACGACTAAGACGACGGCGGCGACAACAACAACGACGACAATAACAACAATAATAACAACAGTAGTAATATAACAGCGCCAGCAGCCAACATGCGCAAGGGCGTCACCATCTTCTTTCTCGTGACCATCCTGGTCCTCGGCTTCGCTGTCCACAGCGTCTGGACATTGCTAGGTCTTTTGGTCGCGTCCGGCCGGGAGGACGCCATTCTTCGCGGAGAATTGCCCGCTCCCAACTCCAGCGCAATCAACCATGCGCCACAATTGATCCCCAAGATCATCCACCAGACGTACATCAACGAGAGCATTCCTGCCCACTGGAAGGGCCCACAGCAAAGTTGCCTCGACCTCCACCCCGACTACGAGTACAAGGTACGGAGCGGAGCGCAGACCTGTTCCGAGCATGCGCGGCTGCTAACAACTCTCAGCTATGGACTGACAAGAAGTCGCGCGAATTCATTGCTGCCGAGTACCCATGGTTCCTCGAGACTTTTGACGGCTATCCCTACCCCATCCAGCGCGCTGATGCCATTCGTTACTTTGTCCTTCACCACTTTGGCGGCATCTACATTGATTTGGACGACGTGCGTACCTCCTTCGTGTACCTCTACGCGATAAATGCATAACTGACAATTCATAGGGATGCAACCGCAGCCTCGATCCGCTTCTCGCCTACCCTGCGTGGGTTCGACGCACCCTTCCCACTGGCATCTCAAACGATGTCATGGGCGCGGTTCCCCGCCATCCCTTCTTCCTCAAGGCCATTGACTCTTTGACCGACTACAACCGCCGCTGGCCTCTCCCGTACGTTACCGTCATGGCTTCTACCGGACCCCTCTACCTCAGTCTTATCTGGAGGCACTACAACAACGCCGGCCCTGTGGACGAGGAGCGTGTACGCATCTTGTTTCCCGACGAATACAATAACCACTCGTGGAGTTTCTTCACTCACCACTTGGGAAACAGCTGGCACAGGACCGATGTCAAGATTATCTTCTGGCTCGCCAAGCACTGGGTGCTCGTGACTATTCTTGGATTTGCTGCCGGTTTCGCTATTCTTGGCTTGATCTACAAGCTTGCCGTCTTGAACAAGCGATCCAATGGCCCTGGCTCGCCCAAGATTCGTTTCTTGAGCCCAAGAATGCCTTTCTATCGTCGCATCAGTCAGAAGAGCTTTGAGCTCGACGAGCGGCACGAGGTGTAACTGGGCGCCCTGGCCCTCCTCTGCATGATTTCAGCGTTATGTCCTGCACTACGTGCTCCGCATTTTCCGGCGTTTTCTCGTCACCGTTGTCCCGTATCTTCGCTTCTCTAGTGGCTTCGTTTTTTTTTCTCTCTTCATCTTCATCTTGTCTATTTACATCAGGGCAGCGGTCCCTAGTAGCATGTTTTAACTGATTTTTCCCAACGGGCACACACGACACGGGTGGAACATGAAACGGTTGGGCTACCGTAGTTGTTGAAAAAGCACCATTTGAACGGGCATCATAGAAAGAGGCTAGACCCGAATCAGCCCATAGAGGCACGACGGACGAGTCTCCAGGCGTCGACCTGGGCGACTTTGGCCCGTCGTGCCGGACGAATTACTATTAGTTACGATAATATCGAATACCAAACACCACGTCACGTGACGATGAGAACTCTATTTCCAGACATGGCATGTGAAACCGATTCCCAACTATGGAACAAATAGTCCAGCGCTGGTTGGAGCCGGGGGATTGTTGGGAGAGATTGGCGACAGACCGGGGAAAAGCGTCTTCCCCGCCATTACCTTGCCACAGTCCGCTTCTGATTGGTCCGTCCAGTTGCCCTCTTTGGCAGCCCTGTCCGTCCCCAGGTGAACCACCACCACCACCACCACCAACCATACTATAAATAATATACCAAGGGTATTCCCGCAGCATTTCTATGGAACTCGCCCCTTGCATGTACAGTAGAATGAAATTCGAGCTGACTGAGAATGCACCAATTCAACACTAGTTGCCTGGACAGCCACACACTGAGAGGACAATGACGCAGACCCGCCACTTCCGTAACAGCGATAACCCTTCCGTCATCGCTCCGCCCCTACCACGTCTAGTAACCATTCCCCAGCCCTCTTGACAGGCCGACATCCGTTGCCCGGTTCCACATGTTGCATATCGCTGGTTGCCATTGACGTCTTTCCTCCCTTTCCCTTCATTTGCTGTACAACATCTAGTCCAACTCCTTCGTTCTTTCACAACTTGAACACTGCCTACGCTCCTATAATCCGGATCAAATTTCCCATTTTCCCCCATCTCTTCTCACCATGGTTGGATTCACCGTGACGATGCGCGAAGGCGCAGAACTTGTTGGCGAGCATGGGTACCGGTACCTACTCGTCAAACCCCTTGGTCAATCCAATGTGTGGGTCGCTGTAGACGCAGCAACCCAAGAGAAGATATTCATCGTCAAGCAACCGAGTGACGATGACGTCGGCTACGGCTGGCCACGCTTCCAGCACGAAATGGTCATGCATGAGCTTCTCAAGGGTATCCCGACCATTCGGCAACAAGTCGACCGCATCCCACCCGTCTCCAGGTCCGATCCGCCACGCATTGTTCTCGAGATTCTGCAGTCTACGTTGTGGGATGCACGAAGGAAACGCCAGTTCAGCGACGTGGAGATCAAGGGCATCATGCGCTCAGCGCTTCTGGGCCTGCGGGACGTGCACCAACGAGACTTGGTATACGCAGGTTTGTAGCCGTGGTTCTCGTGATGTTACGTATCTAACGGTCAAGTAGATTTGAAGATGCAGAATATACTCCTCAGCGGATTCGAGGAACAGCCCAACCAAAGAGCAGTTGTGGGCGACAACAAGATTACAACCAAACTGGGCGACCTCGGTATCGTCATGGAGCCAGCAAAGGGCCTAGTTCAACCAATCATATACCGAGCCCCAGAAGTCTATTTCAGAAACGAAATCAGTCCAGCTGCAGACATTTGGTCGTGGGGGCTGATATACTGTCAGCTCTTGGAGGCTCAAGCCGCCTTTAACAAGTATGGAATATACGACGAGCTACTAATTGGCAACCAAGGCCAAAAGGAAAGATCAGTTGAGCGAGCCATTGCCCACGACTTTGGCCTGGGAACACTAGACTACTACGACGGATGTCGCCTCCCCTACCGCGACAACACCCACTACGAAGGCCAACAATGGGACAAGATTGTGGAAAAAGGTGTCCCAGAAAAGGAAGTCCAGTTCCTCAAATGGGTCCTGAACCCCGTACCAACCGATCGACCAACCGCCCAAGACATCCTCAACTCCGGGTGGTTCACAACCGACGACCAAGCAACCGGCCGCATTGCCGAGACCCTCAAAACCCGCGTTGAAGAATCCCGCCGCAAGCACCTCCTTCGCAAACACAGCGAGCCCTTTTTGTCAAACATGTCTGTTCAGCAACCCGTCAAGAACACCCAAGTTCCTCTGACCGCTGCGGCTTCGACGACTTTACCACCGACACCTATGCCGCAAGTGAATGAGCAACCTGTAGCGTTTGAGCCTGTGGCTTTTCAACCATTCGAGACGTCGCAGTATTATACACGGCCTGCGGCTTCGAGGTCTAGTACGCAGCGGCCCGCGGGTGGCACATTTATGAATTATGGGTCTTTTATGAGATGAGGATATGATGTGTGTGAAGTTGTCATGGAGTTGACGGGAAATGATGTATTCTTAGCAAAGGAAATAGAACATGTTCCCTGGATCCATAGAGACATTGTTTATGTTGAATTGCGATACGGATACATGTTTGTTTAATCGATACATCCCTTTTCTCTTGTCAAGAGCGAGATTTCTAACTCTCATTTTTTTTTACGTTTTTGTTTTTGAATTCTGTGTTAATTTCTGTTTTGTAATGTTTGGTGGCTTACTTTTCACTAACCCTTTCCCCCCCTTCCCCCTCTCCTAACACTTTAGTCCATAGCAGGAAAGAGTAACATGTAAAGGTATCACATCATCCTCTTTTCCTTATCTATCCAGCATATCCTTATGCAGAGTACATTGTTTGCACACAACGTACACCAGAATTACTATCCTAGCTACAAAGTATTGAAGATTATATCTAACATCTCAGCAGATTACCAAGTCACGTGTTCCAAGTTCTTTTTGTTTAAACAAAAAGGAAAAGAATTACTTAGGTAGTAGATACGAGATTGATTGTTTGGATGTACTATGGCTAGTTTGTGTGTTTATTGTAATAGCTAGAAGAGACTGAAATATGAGACTAAAGGTATAGTTCTGTCGAGATTCACGGGCTATGAAAAAGATATTGTTTGGCTGAAGGGGGTAGGGTGGAGGGTGGGGGTTGAGGGAGGGTAAATTGGTGATTAGGTTTGTGTATGTGTGTGAATACATGGTTTGTGTTAGCTGTGTAAGACGGATAGTCACTTTACTGTCTTTTTGCCTTGGGATTTTGTGTTTAGTGGGATATGCAGGTAGGTGGGGTTGTGTGCAAGGTTGATGGAATGTTTCTGTTATGTATTATAATTTTGGAGGGAGTTTTTTTACTTGTCTGCTGCAAATGTTTTATTATACTTTTATCGTTTGGCCTTTGAATAAGGTGTCTTGGTTTTGGATCACCTGGGTGTTGAGTTGTTTCTTTGCTATAAGAGGCGGTTGAGATTAAAAAAAGTTGGTCCACATCATATAACATCTCAGAAGTATAGAAGTCATGTATTACCATATCTTATGTACTTTATTGAAATCACTGTATATGTTTTAGTAGATGACAGCTCTGGTTGAAGTATTTTGCGACGTGCTTACGAATTCTCTGATGTCCGGATGAATTCCTTCTGTCTTGATGAATACAACCTTACAGAGGTCATGAAAATAGCGACAACCTGGTATTGCAACTTTAACACGCTACCTATGCATGGTAATTCAAGTTGAAAAAGACCTATTCTAGTTGCTGGATAATTGGTGCGGGTCGGATTTCAAGACGGGGGGTATGCAGCAGGCAGGCGCTTAGCGGCTCATTCGTGGGTCTGTTCCTCAGCCACTCAGCTGCATAAGCGCTCGGGACTAGTAATTGCCATGCATACAGAGGTACTGCCCGGAACGCTCCGATTGCTTTTCCATCCTACTTCCACAAATATATTGCGGCGTAACAGCCAACACGCCGCTTGCCCCACTAGTGCTCCGAAAACATCACTTCGTAATCGCTTGGAAAGCCCGAATTAGGCCCTTAAACTGTAGCTACTGTGCCGCAATTGGAGGCTGCCCAAAGAACATTTCCCATTGCTCTATTCCCCCGAGCAATATTTGTCACACTTCCCTTTCTTTTTACCGATTCAAGAACGACTCAACCTTTGCTGCAACGCCACTGGCTCTATCCAACAAACATGAACAATCTGCCACAAGAAATTGTCGACGAAATATGCAGTTATATTCCCAGAGAGGACTTGAAGAATGTTCTCACCCTCAATCGCCAGTTTCGCTTTGGCGCAGAGCGATACTCTGGATTTTTTGACGAGTATACTATCAAGGAAGATAACATAGAGTTCCTTTCGCGTTACTCCTGCCATCGCCTGCTTTACCTCAAGGAAGTCATCTTCAGGCCAATACTCCCACCTGTATTAGAACCGCCAGAGGGCGAAGAGTTACCCTGCCGTGAGAGCGCAGAGGAAATACGTGAGAAAGATGAGTCCTTTACTCGCCAGGTTCAACACCTCTTCAACACTCTTAGCCTGTTAGAGCAACAGGCTGGGGAGATGCATGCATCAGGGCGATACCAGCTTTCTGTCCACAGCCTTGCGCAGGACATCACATATTTTATATGGTGTCCACATCGCTTATATGTCAGCTGGCGTGTTCATCTGCTTACCCTTGATTTGCCCGAAATCGCTTCAGTTCATTCGCTTGAGATACACAACAATGGTAACGATAAGTACCGCGAATCAAAATTGGATCTTCGCGTTATCATCGATCTAGCGGCGAAGTTTCCCAACCTTGAGTATTTGGGATGTAAGACGGGCGGATTTGAATGGCATGAAACAGCTGGCGAGATAGAGCCGGAAACTCACTTCAAGCACGATTGGGAAGGACCACGTCGCGATGCGAGACATGACTTTGCCAACGCTGTATCATCGCCATCCTTTGAGTTTCCAAAATCACTCACGAGAGCTTCCTTGGATTTCTTGAACCCATTGACGCGAGCCGTGGATATCTCACAGTCAAGGCCTCTACCAGATCTAGTGGGGCCAGCAGTCAAAGATATGTTCAGCTCAAGCCTGGCTATTTTATCAAACAACCTCCATCAGCTGCACATAAAAGCCATGGTTGACGAGAGTCTGTTTTCAAAAGATGCCAGTACTAGGCCTTGTTGGCCCAATCTGGAGATTCTAGAGGTCGTGTTTCACCCAGCACATCCGAATGGATCTTGGTACTTCCACGGCCCGCAAGGTGAAGGTCGCGATGTGGTAGGCTTCGAAGTCACTGATGAACATTACCCGCCGTACGAAAAGACCGAGCTGGATGAGGAGATGGAATATTTACATGATGAGAAGCCCAATGAAGACCCGCATGACGGTAATTCTCAGTACCGCATCACACCGGATGAAAATCGTTTGCGTCCATTTCTCCAAAGCTTCGCCGAGGCCGCCATCCATATGACATTTTTGAAGTCAGCCTGCCTCTGGTCACCCCTGAACTGGTCCGACATTGAAGCTCCAGAAATTGATTTCAACAAATACACAGAGAAGGGACGTGAGTCATATGTGTGGGGTGTCTGTTACAATGCTCTCGAGGAAAACAATAAATCTAGGTCATCGCGTAGATTGGATTGGGCCGTAGGGTTGTGGCGCCCGGATGCAGAGCTTCACGGCCTGTTTCAAAAGATTGGGGACGGCAAATATGGAGATGATCTAGACGAAGAGTGGGTGCTCGGTAAAGGTAGCGAAAATCCATTGGTAACGAGATGGACTAATGATCGTTTTTTCTCCGATGAATTGCAGCGCATTACTTTTCCGTACTAATTCATTCGAACTGTTATCATTTAGAGCGAGGCTGGTACGCAAGAGTATATAGACGCTGTCGTACAAGGGCTTGATTTTGGGTTGACAGCCCTACAATACAACAGGACGCATGACTCACGTGACATGCTGAGTCACGCTCGGTAGCACTTTCACTGAACTGTGCTGCAATTGCTACGTCATGCTCAAGAGCCTCTCTCACTGAACTGTGACACATTGGCGTCTGCGTATTAAAAGACTGGTGAGGCGGTTAGCCAGAGTTCCTCATACAGCCATGAACGACCTACCGCAAGAACTTATTGATGAGATCTGTAGCCACCTACCGAGAGATGACTTACAGGACGTGCTTACGCTTAGTCGTCAGTTCCAATACAGCGCAGAGAAATATTCGGGATTCTTTGAGAAATACACTCTCGACACAGGCAACTCAGCAGAGTTCCGTTCTCGCTTCTTGTCCTATCGTTTGCTGTATTTACAGGAGGTGATATTCCGACCGACTGTCCCACGATTCAACTGGCGTGGTGAAGACGGTGAACCCGTACCGTATAGAGAGACTGCAGATGAGGTACGAAGAAGAGATGAGTCTTTCACCAATCAGATTCAGTGGCTCTTCCATGTCTTCAGGTCGATCGAAGATCAGGCCGGCGAAATGGGCATCGTCGGCAGATATTGACTCTCGATACACAGCCCTGCCAGAGGAGTTGAATCACCGACTCGTCGCTCTTGGCCGTATTTTGTTAATCCTTGGCGTGTGCGCCTCTTGGAAGTTGGTCTTCCCCTCATTACGGCCGTACAATCTTTCGAAATCTACAACAACTACAACAACATGGAAGCCCCTTTCTACTTCTACTTTGATGAAAAAAGACTTGTTACACATGAGTTCAAACTGTACTTACGCGTTCTTATCGATCTTGCGATAAGGTTTCCGAACCTCGAGTACCTGGGTATTCGGACTGGCGGATTTGAGTGGTGCGAATCAATATATGGCGATGAGAAAGATGCCATCAAACACTATGAGTGCGACTAGGCGAGGCCTCGGCGCGATGCAAGAAACGATTTTGCGGCTGCTGTCTTGTCCCTCCATAGCCAGGTTCCAAAGTTATTAAGACGAGCTTGTTTAGACTTTCTCAATCCTCTGGAACGCGCGTTCATGAATATCGACCACAACGAGCATTTGCCCAATCTGGTGGGATCCTTCAAACATGACCCTTTTACTTCGAGCCTTCGTTTGCTAGGCCCTCACCTCCGTCAACTGCAGTTGCGATGTATGGTCGATGAGAGCGTTTTTCTAGCTAAGGGTGATACATCACCAATTTAGCCCAACCTTGAAAAACTTGAGGCTATGTTCCACATTGCCCGTCCTGACGGCACATGGTGTTTTCGGGGAATGAATGGCAAAGGGTCTGATTCAGTTGGATATCTGGTTACTCAAGCGTCATACCCCACCTTATGAAGCCACAGAGCTTGGTGACAGGATGAAATCCTTCATTGATTGTGCATAATATATCGACCGATGCTACGGACTTAACCAGTTTCGCTTTACGCCACACGATAGACTCAGACCGCTCTTGGAAGGGTTTGCCGAGGCTACTTTGCGAATGAAATATTTGAACGAGGCTGTAATATGGTGTCCGTTGATATGCAACGATAGACCAGGTCAACCGAGAATTAGAAAACAGCAAGCATAGAGTATCAAGTATGTTGAGCCAAGACGTCCCATGAGTCCTGGATCATATCGCAGATTAGAGTGGTGGACCTCGCTCTGGAGACCTGATCCTGAGTTTCGAAATCTCTTCCAAAAAAAACGGACGCTCACGGCTTGGGGATGATCTGGAAGAGCTATGGACGGAGGATCTGACTGAAAGCGGAATCTTGCAACTGGGAGACGTCAAGGATGGTATTCTAGAGAAAGATCCTAGTAAGATTTCCTCTCTTCGTACGGTTAGTTAGTGTGAGGCAGGAGCAGATATGCGTAATGAAAGAGGCCAAGTGAGTACGCTATGATAGCGTTGAATCTTGGAGGGTAGGGTAGGCTCCTCAGTCCAATATCATGCATCGAGACCAGATACTAGCTGCCTCATTCCCATCATCAATTGTACTATACCCTTTCGAGTGTGTATTCTGTAAACAATTCACTGAGTCAACAGAAAAATTGTCAAACAAATCAAAACACAGAATTGATTCACTAGCAATACAAACTCCTGCGGTACTTTTACCAGTCTTTTGGCTTCTCCCAATTCTTGACTTTATCCCATGCATCTTCTGTCTTCTTGATAAGCTCGATGATTCCCTTATGTGTCGCCTTGAGCATCTGTTTGCGATCTTGTGTAGCCTTGTCGTCTTTTGCATCCGATTTAAACTCGTCAGTCTTCCTTTGAGAATCCCACTCTTGGTTCAGTGCTTTCAGATTGAAGTCCATGAAATCAACGCCTCTATTCTTTGCGCGATCAAATACGTCATCCATGTACTTTTCCTACTTTTTCTCCAAATCTTGAGTTTGCCATGATGTGCATGACTGCCCACTCTTCATTACTTTTGGGGTTTTAGGCAACTCCCTATCGATGTGGCCGATCATTTTTCCTATCCTGTTCTTCTCTTTTGCGAATATCTCGGCTATGTCTTTGTCTCGCATATACATAAAAGTTCCCGTGACTTGACGCATCTTCCGGACTGCTATGCGAGTTTGCTCGCCCGCGCTGAGCGATTTGTACCTAGATTCCTTTGTCTTCCCTTGGATCAGATTTGTCATCTTAGTTTGGTCTATAAACGCGTAATTCTTTCCTGTTGATGTTAATACCGGATAGAACAACTACATGGAGAACATAGTTAGTGCGATGCTTAGACTTCATTGTATAATAAGGCAAATTAATCAGACCATAACAAGAAGAGGAAGGGCATACATACATGAGATTTGATGGCAGAGTTAAGAGATTTCTCAAGGAGCTTGAACTCATCAGTCCACTGTCCATCATCTTCTTTGCTGCTTTTGTACGGGTATTGGCTGGCGATCAACCCGAATAGGGTCAACTCTAAAACTTGCGGAGCGGGCGTGGGATTGTTTGATGCAGAGTCGGAACTTTGTATGGAACTAGGAACCGATATAGAGAGAGAAGCTGACGCCGAGAGAGGAACTGACGCCGAGAAAGAAATCGATACGGACAGAGAAATTGGAGTAGAGCTAGGACTTGGCGCCCCAGATGCAACCGGCGCAGGACCACTCATCTTCTGATTCTTCTCAAATCCCCATGATTCTTCCCAATACTTACAGAACTTGACAATAACCCCTTTCTTGGCCTCCTCAGGGCCAGGATGTGGGAAATCCGTCGTAATCTCTTCTCCCATTTGCGTGAAGAATCCTGCAACGACCTGCCACTCAAGAATATGCTCCGTATCATACTTGGCGTTAGGATCAGGCGTGTCGAACTTGTAATCGTCGCACGAGTCCTCTTGATTGAACCCATATCTTTTCAGTGAGATTGGCGGGGGGTCACCCCATTCTCCGCTGGAGGGGTAGCTATAGCTCGAAAGCTTAATGCTACATGCGTTTACCGTTTTCGGACCATAACGCTTATGTAGCTGATGCAGACTAAGATCAATCGGATAACTTCGTCTACGAGAATTACTTTCAGAGACGTCGTCTTCGGCTGCTAATGATGCTAAAGCTTTACAATCAAGCGTCTGGCTTGGAGTTGCTGATGAAGTAGTCGAAGTGATTGAGGTGGTTGGCTGGGCACTTTCAGATGAAGCGGAAGAGAGCGTGGAAAGGGTCGTTTTCTGTGGAGTGGAAGACACTACTAACGTTGCAGCAGGGGAGGTTGTTTGACTTAGAGAATTCGTGCTCGTCGAGGATCTATTGTCGGTCTGAGAGGGTCTGGCGCTGGTGTTGGAGTCATTTTCGTCGCCATTCCCGTTGCTGCTTCGGCATTTAGGCCCTTTGCAACCCTTACAGCCTTTTGAAGGACACGGTAAAGCCTCGTAATTCATGCCGCCAGGGACGACTTCGTCAGGAGCGTCAGAGAGGGAATCAAAGGCCCTTTTGATGAGATTTGCTTTCGTGGGTATCAGTGGACCACATCCTGCTTTTCCTGCAAAGTCTGCGCCGCTGAGAAAGAAGTCTGCCCATAAGTCAGCAGCATCTTGTGCTTCGTAAGCGTATTTGTATGCCTTTGCGGATCTAATTGCTGCCACTAAGAAACCAGTCAACTGTGATCTACTAACAAGATGCCGCAGTACTTACCTATCCCACCAGTGATGGCCCTTCCTGGTGGCGGAATAGCTGCCATACCAATGCTCATCACCATGTCTAAAGCTTGCAAAGCTGGACATATGACCTTCTTGAGAATTTTTCCAGTTTCGATGATGGCTTCAATGAAGAAGTTGCCTGCGAACTCGAAAATGGGAAGATTGCAAGAGCAATAACCCTTTCTGATCATGACACCTTTAAACTAAGTCAATATCTAATTACGAAGCAAAATACTACAATTTGATTGAATCAGTACCTGTGTATGTCTTCTCTTCTCCACATGGTATTTGCTGTCCACTCGATGAATACCAGGGCGCGCCATTGAAAATGCAACTTTGGGAGGCCAAAGCAGCTTGACCATCTCCAGTCTCCTCTCCAGGAGGGCAGACACTCTTGCATTGATCCTTTATCGTGCCTCTCGAACCGTCAGATGAATCGAAGCAGGTAAGGTCGGCATAATATTCTCGTAATTTGCGTGCCGCACTGGGGTCCTTTGTGGTCTCTTGTCCAAAAGGCTGTTGTACATTGTCAGGATTGGAGTTACAGCTTTGAGCAAAACTGTGTGTCGTCAAACTTGACACGATAGCCAAATATGTGTAGGCAAAGAAAGGAATATATCGCATCTTTGAGAAAGGGTATGAGAATTCTTAAAAGGTAGATATTCTTTATATGGCATAAAACTTCTGGAATACTTACGAGTTTATATCTGCTCATATATGGTTATGACTATGCCTCTCTGCAGAGCAATTCAGACCCATCACCGGATCCGACGAACCACGCCGCGAAGGATCTTCCATGTAGATATCACATTGGCAGCAGAAAACGTCCCAGCGCTTCCAAGACTCAAGTTGCAATATCGTATTCCAGCATGCTACTGTGCCACTTCCCACTGTTGATGCCCGATAGCTCTCACCAACATTACCTTCTGTACACTCCCGCTAAACTACGTTGGTTGTTAAGAAAAGCAGATCACTAAAACACTTTCAGCATAGGTAAAAGCAGAAAATTTAGCAAGCCGAACCATACTCGTCGAAGCATAAAACGTACTCAACTCACAGAGTTTCAACCGCGAGGCGCATTCAAGGTATCCACCCATCGGTGGTACAAGTCAGCCTAGCGATTATACGCGCTGCCAAGCTCCTTTGTACTCAGTTGGAAAAAGAGGGCAGTACAAAGATCCAGATCATAACTGCGTTGGTGTTCCCCGAAACAACCGAGAGAGTGACCGTAAGCGCTTCGTATGCAACATTGCGGCGAAGTTGCACAGCAGATGTGGAAAGTCAGTCGAGTAGCCATTCTCGCCCCCTCCTCCAAAAAACCTCGCGCTTAATACCTGAAAGTTAGGTTCCCGGTAGATCACATATACCCTAATGTCTCAGTGATTGTTTCTATTCTGAACATGTGAGCATCGACAAAAGAGAAATTCGCCCCTAGTCTTCGACACTGCCGCATTGCGGCACACGGAAAGCAACACATCGCTCCCTGAGATAGGATAAATTAAATTGGTATCTATTGGATAATTGGGGCTAATTTCGGTCTCTTCACAAGACGCCATCAAGTTTCTTCGTTCATTGTAGGTTTCCGTGGCCATGTGCAGTGACATCCGCCTATCTGCCTATTATTGACCGACCAAACCCTTTTCCTCGAACACCTTTCTGCAAATGGAAAAAATTACATTAACTTGACCATTACCACTGCCTATATCTCTCTCTATTGTCTTTCCCTGCTCGATAGCTTTGCAGCGTGCGCAAAGAGGTAGTAAAGTAACTGGTTTTCGTCCAATTACACATTATAGGGCTTTAGCAAGAATAATGTCGATTTTTTGAGAAAACATTCAAGTATATTCATTTCGCGCCATGTTGTACTGTACACCGATAGTACATGTTGTCTAGTCTACGTTCTGGTAATTGTAATACTACTACTACTATTAGGAGAAACATCGGCCCCGAGGCAAGTAGACCGCGTGTATGCGCTTGCGCTAAACCGGATTGGGACGCACCTCCTCACCGAACCGTGGAACACAACAACAGCGACTGCAAACCAGCATGATGGGTTGCATTAGTCTTTGCTGGGGGAATGAATATGGAGAATAGACATCATGCGCACATTGCGTGCGGCAGGGAAAAAGATTCCAAGTGCAATGACCATGTATTGCCAGCGTCCGGAGTTGTGATTCGTCAGTCTCGCTTGCACCTCCTTGCCTCCCAAACCGCCCCCAGCGCAACCGCTTGAACACGCTCGACATCGCCGCTCACTGAAACCTTTTCCATCGCCGAACAGCACCCCAACACCGCTTTTCATCACTTCCGACGCGATAGATCGCATGCTGTAGGCCGTGCGACAATTTTGACACCGATATCCGCAATATCGCGACGCGTTGGTGGTTGCAACAGCTCTTGGGCGAGTGACTCACCTCTTTGCTGGTCCGCCCCGGGGCGCCAGGATTTGCATCGCACCCCATACGGAGCCCAACCCAACCACGCATCACGTGCATAGCGACAAACAACAATGACTGCTCGCGCAACAGGCCAGCGCTTTCGCCAGCGCAAGCTCTCTACAAAACAGAATCTACCCGTTGTACGCGAAAACGAGGTTGAACAGCTTGCCGATGACGATGCCTCCCGCCACATCCCCAAGGTCGAGACGGGTGTTGAGAAGGGCGAGGAGATTGTAAGTTGCGCTAGTCCCCTTTGGGCACTCACTGTCTATCAACGCTTCCCCAGCCTCAACCATGGGCCATGTGTTGATTAACTGATATCTTGCGTTACTCACCTTTGGCGTCTTTTCAGTTTCAGTTCAAAAGCTAATACGCAACCTAGGAACACCATTTGCAGGCCGTCATCTCTGCCGCCCAGGCAGCAGCACAAGGAGCAGCTGGTGGGAAGATTGCTCAGCTCTACATCCCAACCCCAGATGCCGTCGCTAGTAATCTGCAGTATGAAGATCTGTATCCAAAGCGCTTCACGCAACCTGCCACTTACATCCGTTTCTCATCTACTGTTGAGGATACGTCTGGCTGCCCATACTGCATGACCAGTGATGATGTAGCCTTTCTCAAGTCTTACAACCAGAAAAGGAGTAAGAACGACCAATGTTCAGAAGACGAGTTCGAGGAGATTATCTACTTCTTCGAGGAAACTACCTCGACGAAGCAGCCTTTCGCCGCTGTCGATAACCCACCTGTGCTTGCTTATGAAGAGCTCGAAGCCGAGTTCGATGAGACCATCAGTGAATCTGCACGGCGGTTTGCAAAGGATGTTTACGAGCACTGGAGGAACCAACGGCTGCTAAGAGGCAACCGCCCGCTGATGCCTTCGTTGAAGTTTGAGACCAATCTCGAGACCGATGACGCTGATCCATACGTGTGCTTCCGACGTCGCGAGGTGCGACAGGTCCGCAAGACGCGTGGCCGTGATGCTCAAGTGACAGAGAAACTGAAGAAGCTAAGGAAGGAATTGGAAGAGGCTCGCCTACTGATGTCGCAAGTCAAACGACGAGAAGCGATGATCAGAGAGCAACTTGCAACTGACAAACTGATCTTCGAACAGCGCCACGCCGTCAAGGAACTCAAGCGTAGACTCAGCATCAAGGGTGATGACGACGACTTGCTTATTACGCAGAAGGTACGTTGTTCGAGCCACTCCACAGATGCCTTGCACATGACTAACGCGTTGCAGCCCGCACCCAAGCCCAAGAGAACTGTTGATGTCGAGCGGCAACGCCAGACGTTGCCAGGCATGAAGCCTCCAAACACACGCCCCGATGGGCGCCTTGTGGATGGCGACATTGTCTACCTCGAGGAGCAACAAGCCAAGCGCACCGAGGCAATCGACAGTTTCATCGAAGACAATCTGGTCAAGCACCAGAAATGGAACGTTGGTTGGGTCGATGCAACATGGCGACCCATTACGCCGCCTTTGGAGCCGGCTGCTGCGAAGTCTGATTTCCGTACCGTCTTCACAGAAAGTCAGCTTCCTACGCCCCCTGCCTCTGTTTCTGATGGAGAGGGCGCTGATGCCACAGCAGTGGCGCCGTTGAGCAAGCAACCAGATCCGCAAAGAACCGCGCGAATACGCTTCGCCACGCCACCAGAAGATGTGCCGTTCCATGATCAGTCTCGCTTCCGTCGGCGGATTGGGCGAGGTGGGCGAATGATGATCGACCGGCGAGGTGTCAAGCGCCAGAAGACGGAGAAATATGATGACCGTCTGGCTGACCGATGGCGGTTCGCTGGTGATAGTAGTGAAGACGATGAAACATATCCCGTCGATTGGACGGATAACCTACACATCAGATACCGTATCATGATTGAGCGGCAGGGTGAGAAGGTCGCTCAACAACCTCCGCCAGGTCCAAGTCGTCGGCCGATTGAGAACCACAATCGATCTGCGTCGGGCCATCTTCTTCCTCCTACCCCTACCACTGCCCACCCTGCCAGTGCCGGCAATGCTGCCAATGCCGCAGCAGGGAGGTGATTTCTTCTCTCATCTTCTTCTCTTCTTCGTCCAGCGCTTTGACTCATGGGATGGATTCGGTGTAGGTTTGTCGACAAGTTATACCCTTTGTTTTTATTCGCAGTAGGATCCAAAGATCTACCAAGTTATGTACAACAGCTCCGCAAAGGAAGGAGCAAGGTTGGTGGATGAGTTTGCAGGTGCAGCGGGTGTAGGATATGCCTAGATCGGAGGACAGATTAGCAGTGGATTTCTTGGATATGATATTCAGATGCTTCTGCTAGCTGTCGCGAGAATCTTGCACAGCGGATGTTTCCTGAAAGAAAAGAAAACAAAACTTACCAAAGCATATTGCTACCTCGAACTCATTACCTTCTGCATGGTGTTCTCGTGGTACCCCTCATCGAGCCTCACACGGATGTCTCGTGTCCTGGCACCCAAAACTGTACATCTTATAAGGTGATGCTTAAGCTCTATGCTTCTTCCCGGTTCCTCCCATCTCTACATCACCCTCTTCATCCACATCTCTTGCCCTCTTGGTGATTGCGCCATTGTCCCTTGCTACTTTCTCCGCTAGTCTTTCTTCAGTTTGTACCAATAGTTTCTTTTCGCCGATGCGCACAGCTCTGGCCATCGCAACCCGGCGTTCTTTCCGCGACATGATCTGAGCGGGCTGCGTTTCTGAAGAAATCTGCAAGTCCTGCTCCAGCGTGGTTGGGTACTGCGCGATGCGAGCTTGCACAATTTTGTAAAGAATTTCCGTTGCTTTGCCAGTTATTTTCTCGGCCTTAGGCAGCCTGCCCTTACTCTGCAGGCGCTCAAACTCTTCTGGTGACAGCAGCATGGTCTCAACCAATATGATGAGCTCTGGTGAAAGGCTTTCTTCGAGTGAGAAGGGAACGCTGGCAGCGATGTCATACCCTGTGTCCACTATGTCTTGTTCGTCCAGATACTCGATCCTTTCCTCATGCCATACCCCGTCATGAGCAAGGGTCTGTGAGACCAAATATGTGGGGATCTCGACGACGTCGTACTGCGCATAGTTATCGGTAATATAACCATAACGCCTTAAGAGGTCGCTTCTGGGCAGCGGACCATAGTCATTGAATACTTCCTCTCCAGCTTGGATTGGCTTCAAGGCCTTCATCTCCAAACCATCTTTCTCGTAGAAAAGACGGGCGTTGCACCGATCGGCATCGGCATTTAGCATGTCGGCCAGCGGCACCATTCCTTTCGGGAGCGCAGCATCTTCCTCTTCCTCGGCAAAGCCTTCCTCATCCACTTCTTTGTCCGAGATTGCAGGCTCAACATCAAAAGCGTATGCCATGATTAGACTTCCCATCTTGTGCATGAGCTCCAAATTCTCCGGTGCGCGCATTTCCTTGGCCTTGTCCTTAGCTCTCTCATCGCCACTGAATATGACATCCGCAAACTCTTCGATCACAGGTAGCAACTGCTCAATGAAGACTTCATTTGCCCCCTCTTTGCCAATCTTGTTCACTACAGCGCTAGCCTGCAGTTCCGCCAGCTCGTCTTCCGTCCAGAACATGAGGGTATCAAAATTGGTCGGCAGCACGGCGAAATATGGAGACCAGTTCGAGGCGGATCCATTGTGGTACTCATAAAGCATAACAAGAATGAGAGAAAGCCAGGGACCAAGGACGGCGAAGGTGGCGGGAGGGATCTCGGTAGATAGGATGCTGTTTTCTACGCTGAGAATGGAGGAGCGGGGTATGCTGAAGAGAAGCTCATGCTCGGCAATGTCCTGCTTCGCAACTGTCGCATGTATCAGCACAAGCTTCATGAGTAGTAATACTTGTGAAAAAGAGGGTGTGGAAGTGGCTTAGTGTGTCTGGTCATGCATGTTACTTACCGACGCCTCGTCCTGCATCTTTTGCGCGCAGATCCTCCAGTTGGATTTTTGAGCTGATCTGCGCATCGGTATGCTTCAGCCAATCCAAGAACTTCCGGCTAGTAACATCGAAGTCCGCCATAGAGAAAAGTGGTGTTGCGATGTGGGAGGCTTGGTGGCTGGGATTGTTCTGGTGGATATTATTTAGCGGTTGGGAGCCGAGGCTGCGCTTATTGGCCGATGTGGGTTATGTACTGGGGTGAGAAGTATTTGCAACACTCCAACCGAAGATTGATGCTTGAAAGATATGGGAAGAATCAATATGGATGTCCTTTGAGTGGGTTTGTACCATAGCAAGGTGGACAAAATCTCGAGGGTTTTTTTTGTTTATGGTAGCGATTGGCAGACCCTGCAAAACCTGACTCGCTAATGTGACGTCTGCCTGTCGAAAGCTTTGAACTGCTACCTTAGTCGTTTCTTTAGTCGGATTATGGATGAATTTGGGGGTATTGTCAGCAATGCTCCAGGGTGAAAGATTTGATATAATCTTGAACATCTTTGCCACAGTTGTGGATCGTGAAATCCAGCAACCCGGGCTGTGGTTCAAATCTCGTGCTTTATCGATAAGCATTTTCATCCAAACCCACGTCACCCCGCATCGCTCGACGCGTCAATCACCCAGCAACAGCATTCGATACAATGATTGCCATAGGCCTTGAGGGAAGCGCAAATAAGATAGGGATTGGTATCATATCCCATCCTGGGCCAAATAAACCACCCATCATACTCGCAAACCTGCGGCACACGTATAATTCCCCACCTGGCGAAGGCTTCCTGCCAAAGGACACCGCGATACACCACCGGACATGGGTCGTGCGGCTCATAAAGCAAGCAGTGCGACAGGCTGGTGTCAAAGTTGAAGACATCAATTGCATATGTTATACAAAGGGCCCTGGCATGGGCGCGCCATTACAAAGCGTCGCGCTTGCCGCAAGAACAATAAGCCTACTCTGGAATAAACCAATGGTTGGTGTGAACCATTGCGTTGGACGTCAGTATATCCTTTGCTTTCCAGCCAATAGCATGATGTTGACGTGACGCAGACATCGAAATGGGTCGTTCAATAACACGCGCTGATAACCCTGTCGTCCTTTATGTCTCTGGTGGAAACACCCAAGTAATTGCCTATTCTGCCCAACGCTACCGGATATTTGGTGAAACCCTGGATATCGCAATAGGAAACTGCATAGATCGATTTGCCAGGACGCTTATGATACCCAATGACCCTTTCCCAGGTTATAATGTTGAACAGTTGGCAAAGAAGGGGAAAAACCTGGTCGATTTACCGTACGGTGTCAAGGGCATGGACGCGAGCTTCTCGGGAATATTGGCGGCAGCCGACTTCCTTGCACGCGGACTAGACGAGTCGTTACCTGACGAAAAACGACTGAAGACCGAGGACGGAGAACTCGTAACGAAGGCAGACATGTGTTTCTCGCTACAGGAGACCATATTTGCCATGCTGGTCGAGATCACAGAGCGTGCCATGGCACACGTTGGTTCCCAGCAAGTCCTAGTTGTAGGCGGCGTGGGTTCGAATTTAAGATTACAGCAGATGATGGGAATGATGGCAAGGGATCGTGGTGGCAACGTATTCGCAACTGACGAGATGTTCTGCATCGACAACGGTATCATGATTGCCCATGCAGGCTTGCTGGAGTACGGAACGGGCGTGATAACAAAGTTGAGCGACACGACATGCACGCAACGCTTCAGGACGGACGAAGTCTATGTAGGATGGAGAACTGACTAAGGTATGCTTTTTTCAACATGACCTTCAACTCTTTGTCAGATTCACACCAGTCAGCTTACCGCTTGCTTTGAAGGAAGCTTGTGTCAATTTCCTATGGTATACATATGTGTATGTATGTTTCATGTAAATTCATTCGTTTCTGACCGACTTATGCCGCACCTGGAGTCTTTCGCCTCGGTGCGGCAACTGGGTTGTTGCTAATGCACGGCCAATGCAACTGGTATTGGAGTAACCCGAAAAAGGCAAAGCGGTAGAATCATTGCTTACGTACGCGATTTCTGTTCAACGTCAGTCTTTGGCACGCCTGAAAGTCACTCATTATATTTAGGCACTCAGGAACATTGTTTCTTGTATGCTTGAATTCGCGAAATTATGAAGCTTTTATTAATTCTGTCAGCGCTCGCTACCGTACTTGTTGCAGATGACAGTAGCGGATGCGACAAGCCACTTCCGGATGGTGTCCTCCCAGGCAAATCTACGAGCTTGACTATTGACAGCGAAAGCGGCATCACACCTCGCGGATACCGCCTACATATTCCCGAATCATATGAAAAGAACAATCCTATCCCGCTGATATTTTCATTCCATGGTCGAGGCAAAACTGCCGAATATCAGGAAGCTTTGAGTCAATTCTCCAACGCAAGTTATGGATTTGAGGGCATTGCGGTATATCCTGAGGGAGTCCCGGTACGCGACTGCACGAAGATTCTGCAAAAAAAATGCTAATATTCCACAGAACAAAAAGGGAACTCAGCAATTCCAGGGCGATCCTGATGCACCCAAATCCATTGACGATGTAGCGTTTACCTTGGAGCTGCTGGATCACCTTGAAACGACATATTGCATCGATACTTCACGTATCTACGCAACTGGAAAGTCAAATGGCGGCGGCTTTACTGGCATTCTTGCATGTGATGCCGAAGCAACAAAGCGCATCGCAGCTTTTGCTCCGGTATCCGGTGCCCTTTACCTCGATACAAATCAGCAACCACCGCCTTGCAATCCCAGTCGCAAACCCGTACCGCTAATGGAGTTTCATGGCTACCGTGATCATACAATTCCATATGAAGGCGGAATTAACACGCGCGGCAACGCAAATAGCTCAGACATTGTCACATACGTGAATGACTGGGCGCAGCGCAATGGATACGATGCGCTTGTCAATGCGACTACATACCTGTGCGATGGAGAACAGAAGGTGATGAGGCATAGCTGGGACGATGTAGTCGTGCACTACAACTACACCAATATCGGGCACGATTGGCCCAGCTCCTTTCCAAATGGTGATACAGACGACCTGTTGACGTGTGAGGAAGCGGAGGCAACATCTATTATCCTCGAATGGTTCAAAAAGTGGACTATCTGAGACTTTAAAGCAAGCGGGAAGGCTACCAGACAGGAGGCAAAATACACAATGGTACAATGAAATGGCAGCGTCGAAAAAACAAGCAAGAGATACACACCACGCATTGAAGTAAAGTTTTGCTCTCCATGACCGCTCTGTAGTTTGTCTCCCCGTGTTCTACGTATGAGCGACTAGGGTGTAGTAGGCACCAGATGGCAGCAGTGCCGTGGACCTCACCTTGTATCCCAACAGCGGGTTTGGCCATAGCAATCCGTTTGTTGATGTGTCCCAATGGACCAGGTTAACACTGACGAGCACGTGATGGTAGCGCATGGCCGTCGATACTGTAGACTGACCTTTTGATTCCAATACCGGCGAACATTCTTATTAGCACGGGGAGCATGCTTGGGGGTTTTCTTGCAATGCAACAGCTCCTGACAGAACGCGACCTCACCCGCTGTTGTGGCAACAGCGGCGTTTGTAAACACACTCCGGGGCTCCTTCTTTTGACGCGATCTTGGCCACGCTTGTCAGGTTTTTAAGCAAATCTGAACTCCGCCTCTTCATATAACTTCGAATAATAACTTCAAAGTCTCTTAACGTAGTGCTAGCTGTCATTTCTTTCCTCAATCGCTATTGCCGGTAGCCAGCGGGCGCCATGGACGACCACCCCATTGCACACGCAGACGACAGCAGATCGTCAACCGCCACTTTAGATCACATAGCACACCATGAAACCGAAACCCCTCAGGATGGAGGGCTCAACCACATCGACGTTCGATCAGACCTATCCTGGCTACATAGCAGCTGTTGGAAGTTCCAGTCCATCGACGGTGATCGCCGCGCAGCTGCTCACGGCTTCGTTGTACCTGAGGAGCTGTTGCTCGTGACAGATAACAGCAATGAGAGACATGACGATATCAAGATCGTTTGGACGGGAATAGCGGGTGACCCTGGCTCGAGAAGTGCTATAGTCGGCACAGCGTCCCAGCACCTGCAGACCATCTACGAATTACGCAGTTTACTGGGTCTTCCAATGTCATTCCGAGGGAAGGTACCATCATACCCTGACAACGCTGACATACGCGTAAAGCAGTACTGGGAGAGAAAGCATGGATTACAATCGCTGGTTCGCGCTGTTCAAGCTCAATCAGTAGGCCAGCAGGAACTGCCGCCTACAACGCCCGACCCTAGTTTGACGACCCAAGAAGCTTCTGATTCTACGGCTAGGGAAACTTACAGCCTAGAGGAAACACAGGTAGTGCTGCCCCTGCCAGCAACATTTGCACCTTTACAACGTTACTCTAGCACTACGGAGATGTTAACGAAACAGCCTGCACGCACATATCAATTGCCTGAACGAATTGCAACTTCCGATAATCATGACGAGGTAGCTCAGCCGCAAGAATCATCGACAAGTGCGACGTTTTCAGGATCAACATCTCATGCAACAGACACGTGGTCTCCCAGCGACCTAGAGAATATAGCCAAATTGCCATGCATAGATTGCGGAGACAATGGTGGCCATGCGAGTGACTGCAATATTGGCAGTTAGTACTCGCTCACCTAGCATTCCTTTGTGGTACTAACGAGTTCCAGATCTCAAATTCAAGGAGCATCTTACGATGATTGATTATCGTGTTTTGGCGGATATTGTTGAGCAATTCGATCCTGGTCCATGGACAACACACTTTAATCTAAACCGAGAACGTGAGCCTGAAGATCCTTTGGTTCAGATAGCTGGTCTGGCAGAAGTCATAAGAAATGAGGATAGCTACAAGAACGATCCGGAATTACATGGTCTACCAGACGTCCATATGATTATCCTATGGGCATTCAAAACTCTCGATGGCGTTGAAGTATTGAGTGTGTAAGTCACATTCCTAGAGCATCCGTGTCTTGAAACTAACCAGTATTTTGCAGTGAGCGGTAGTGGCAGAAAACATGTCTTCAGAGCCGGTGTCCAATCTTCGCCAACCTCTCTGTACTCATAGCACCTTCAGCAGCTGAATTATCGAATAGCAACTGGGGTTTTCAGCACATAGCATAGGGTAAGATTTTACATAGCATATGTAAGGCTCCCGGTTTTTTGTCCTCTATACACATGTAGATACATGTGCTACGCTAGCGGCCGCCCCTGTTCAAGATCTAACCCGGAATGGACTCTAAGATGCAGTCAGAAAATGGAACGTGGATAAGACTCTAAATATAGCCGGAGATAAGATCCGAAAACACGACTGCATTGGTTCGTTGTCTGCCTGGACGCCCGACTGACTGACTGGTTCCAACATTGCAGTCGCGATGCAGCTACCCGAAAATCGATCCGACAAACCGAGGTATTGTTGTTACCCCACTTGGTGATGACAAATAATTGTACGTATCCACAATCAGACAACAACTTGGGCCTCGAAGTTCCCACGTTGCATCTTGTGTGATGCTTAAATAAGAACCATTCTCGGAACCTTGAATTCAATCTCTTCGTGAGCATCCCCAAAACCAACAGGGAATTTGCAGCTTTTGTGACTGTTGTTTTACCTTCAGTACTACGTATACTTGCTGAAATCATTGTTATTATCCATAAACCTTGAGACCAACTTGCCATTGCATTGCATCTACAACAATGGCGGACTTTGAAAAAGCCATCAACGATGCCATTGCTTCGGAGGAAATTCCTGGCTGCGCTCTATCAGCGACGAACCGCGACGGTACATCTACATTCACTCTGCACCCAAGCCCCAGGTCTCCAGTCTAACAAATCCCCCCAAAAAGGAACATTCACATATTCCAAAGCTTTCGGCAAAGCCTCCATGAAGCCCGAAAACAGCAAGCCTATGCAACTCAACACAGTCATGTGGATAGCATCCTGCACCAAACTCATGACGTCCATCTCCGCCATGCAACTCGTAGAACGTGGCCTCGTCTCCCTTGACGACCCCGTCTACAAGCATATTCCCGAGCTAGAATCCCGAACCGTAATCAAAGGCTTCACCGAAGCCGGCGCACCCATTGAAGAAAAGCACACCAAACCCATCACTCTCCGCCACCTCCTCAGCCACTCCAGCGGCCTCGCCTACGAATTCATCCACCCGGTAAACCAAGCCTGGCTCAAGTACCACAAGCGCGCCCCGGGAAGCAGCGGCAACCTCATCGAACGCTTTTCCTACCCACTCGTCTTCGAGCCCGGTGAGAGCTGGGCGTACGGCCCTGGTCTCGACTTCGCAGGCCTCCTCATCGAGCGCGTGTCTGGCCAGTCACTCGAGGACTATATGAAAGCGAATCTCTGGACCCCGCTCGGTATATCCGACATGACTTTCTCGCTCGCCTCCCGCCCGGATCTCGCGGCGCGCCTGGCGGATATGTCAGCGCGGGACCCTGCGTCAGGCAAGGTTGTGGATTTCTCGGGCCCGCTGCCGTATGTGGATGGGGAGGGCAAGGAAGTTACGAGTCATATGGGGGGTCAAGGTGTTTTTGCGTCGGTGGAGGAGTATGCGAAGGTTTTGAAGGCCGTGTTGGAAGCGGATAATGGGGGTGAGGGGAAGATTTTGAAGAAGGAGTCGGTTGAGGAGTTGTTTAAGGCACAGTTGGGGGATAAGAGTCGGGAGGTGCTCATGGGGATTTTGGAGGATCAGGCGGTATGTTACTCTTCTCTTCCCTTTCTTTTCTTTTTTTTTGCAGGGAGGAGCTGGAGCTGACGATTCGACTTGTAGACTGGAAATGCGATGGGTGGTTTACCGATTGGGTTTCCCAAGGACCACGCGCTTGGTGGCGTTGTGATAGTGGCTGATGGGCCTGATGGCAAGAAAGCTGGGACTATGGTTTGGGGCGGGTATCCGAATCTCATCTGGTGGATTGATCGCAAAACAGGGCTTTGTGGTATTTACGGTGGTCAAGTTGTTCCGCCGGGAGATGCAAAGGTTTCGGGGTTGCAGCGCAGCTTTGAAGCCGGCATGTATGAGAGGTTGGCAAAGGAGAAGTTGTAAGGCGCGTTCTTTGCGCAGACGTCGTGTTTATGAAAATCGAAAGTATCACTCAGGAACTTCAATGTTTGAAAAGAATCATTGATTATTATGTTCAATTAAAGAGAGTATCGCAACGATGTCGAGGCCTGGGGCCTTACACTACAAGTCGCTTGTACAAGTCCTGATGCCCAGATGTGGTACTGCATCGGTATTTATCCCCAGTGCACCAGTCAACCATTCGTCAAAGTAAAAAAGCAACTCCATGGTATAACCCAGAAAACGCCCCGCAACCACGAACTCCAGAAACAAAAAAAAGCAATAAACGCCAGTATCATGTATATCTTCCTACCAAGCCCATCTAACGACGACGACCCTGCGCATGCAGCATAGCATTGCGCTCAAGTGCCTCCTGCTGGCGAGCGCTTCCATAGACGGAGGGGTGAGCAGGCATCTCAATCGGACCGCCGATGATACCATTGCCACAGGGACCACCGAGACCTTTGCCAACTGTACCCGTGATGTCAATGTCGAAATCGCCCGTCGCGTCAGTAACACCCACGTCGCCCCTGTTGAACGCCGCGATGATATAGAGATTGATGTTCTCGAGAGACGTTCTGTCAGTGATGTATGGAAGGTACTCGGGGACTTCGACGACAGAGTCAGAGACTTGGGCAGTAGTAGCAGGGGGGCTGCTCGAGAGAGTGTTCGCATTCGAACACGAAGACTGAGGGATGTCGAGGTGGGTATTGGCGCCAATGATCTCGTAGTCTGGTGGTGGGAGCAGTGCGCCTGCCTCGGCAATCTTCTTCCCCGTGTTGGGGTCGATGCCCTGGAGGAGAGGCAGCAGGAGATGACCTTTCTCTTCATCGGACAGGCTCGCCCATGTTGAGTTGTAAAGATCTTTAATGGAGCGGTCTGCAGAGCGTTGAGTGGGAGTGGTGCGCTTCTTGGGCGTCTTCTTCTTAGGTGTCGTCTTCTGCTTGATCACCTTTGTGGCCTTTATCTTTGGTAGGGGCTCCTTTTTGGTCGAAGGAGTAAGAGCGGACTTCTGTGGACTGGAACTCAGGATAGGTCCCCAGAAAGCTTCGATAGCACCCATCGGTCGCCCTGGTGATTGGACTCGAGCAGGCTCGATGGCCTGGGAGACAGGCGGGGTAGTGACGCCTGAGTCTACCACTGGTAGATCAGACGTCTGTGTCGGAGGCGACGACGGCCAGTCACACTGAGCGCCAACAGGCTCTTCACAGGGAGCCTCGGCAGTCCAGAGCGACATGTCGCTCTGGAAGCTGCTGAAGGTGTCCTCCGATGCGAAGGAGTCAAAGAAGCTATTCTGGCTCATGGAAGGCTCAAGCGGAGGGAGCTCTTCCAAGTCGCCACAGAATACTTCCTCGGCGAAGCTCAGTGGTAGATCGTCGCTGGAGTCGACAATGGGTGGATTGCCGTTACAGGCAGCGCCATTGAAATCGAAGAATATATCCTCTGTGAGGCTGGATGACTCCAGGGTCTCGTCGGCGCTCAGGGATTGAAAGAAGTGCTGAGAAGTCATATTGTGAGAAAGATGGAAGGATTGACAAATGTGGATAGTTATGTAATGGTAGGAAGTGGTGTTGTAGCGATTTGCAAGTAGACGATATTGAGTGAGATGTAGCGAGAAATGGAAACAGAAACTGCAAGACTACAGAAAATTGATATGTGCGACGGAGGCTGGGTTCCGACTAAGCGACTGAGGGGTTGGTTAGTAACAGGTGGTGGTCATAGCATACAAGAAGTGTCTCACGTTGGTCGTCATCTTGGGAATCAACCTGCTCGAAGTGGGTACTAGATCCTGAACAGGCAGTCTTCGATGAGGCGAGAGCGATCCATTGGCCCAGCCGCCCCCAGGCAGCATTGCCTTATCTGATTCTTGGGGCTGTGGTGTGGAGCAAACGGTCTAGAACAGAGCAATTTTGTGCCCAGTTCTCTCGCTGTGCGTCCCGATGCGTTTGCCTAGCCCCATGCAGGTACAGATTGGGAAAAGATCCCGACAAAGATCTTCGAGTAGGCGGGATATCCGCGGCGGGCCGGTTCCGTAGCTCTGGTTCCTGAGTTCCGGGGCTGGCCCGTGGGGAGGGGGTTGGGGAGTGAAGGAGCCTGTTTAGCGAGAGCAGACGAGCACACCCGCGTGATTTACCTTTGGGTAGTGTGAGATAAGGCAATTTATGCGGGTCTCTCAAAGAATTTTGCAAAGCCATTGTATAAGGCTCACATGGCTTGTGCGCTATCTGTCATCAGTTCGTGCCTACGGTATAAGTGATAGATTGCATGCGCAAATGGGACATAGTGCATGAACAACATGGATACAATGACCAGGATATTAAGTTACAAAGGAGAGAAACAGTGTGCGTTGCAGTGATATACGAACCTGAGTAATTGTCGACACGCTGCCTCGACTGGCCTACCGCACTGGAGTGATTGCTTGGCTAGAGAATTGTGAGATGACGTTAAGGTCTTTGGTTTCTGTGGCTTACATGCTTGATACATCACCTTCAGTCAGCTCCAAGTAATAGTGAGATGACCAATGTATATGATGTACCTACTAAGTAAAATGACAATGGCAAAGTACTCCCTCAATGAGCAACAAAAGTAATGTGCATCATTTCACCACCAACACAAGTAATGACTCAGCCATCAAGTCGCAACATGATTTTTTGATTATACTTAGAAACAAAGCAAAAATCTTCATGAACAATGATAATATATGATGCGCCTGTAAAAACCTCGGTAGTATACGCGCATGCACGCCTGCGGCAAGGATCATGCAAGTGATCGTCAGCCGCAGGATCTGCGTGGGTAGCGTGAACCCTTTCTCCACAAACTCAAATGGAACCTCATCCCATCACCCACGCATCAACTTTTTGACTGCATAACACCATGTTCCAGAATACATGTACCGGCCCAGTATTTGTATGACCTCAGAAGATATCTGGGTCTTCCTCAAAACTATAAGAGGTTGTGTGACTTGGACTGTCAAGTCGCTCTATGCACTTCGTATCGATTTGAAGCATCTCGAGCACATCCAACTTCAGGATGTTGTCCATGTTGCTGTATGCCTCTCGCGTCAGATTCGCACGCTTTTTCATCCATGCACTTTGATACGGAGGTACGTACGGCTCTTGGTACGCCATGCGTGGCATGGGGGCTCGATCAGAGACAGGCACCCATGATGGAGGAAGGGCATTGGCTGGACCGGCGTCGACGTCTTCCGAGACTGTCTCTGAATGACAATCTGCAATTTTGTTAGTGACATCCTTGTTGTGAAGACGGAGATGGAAGATACCTGGTAGAGGAGGCGCCCCCATCGCCCCACGATGCTGCTTGCGCGCTATCTGCCCTTGAGCTTCAAGCCGCTGCTTCGCATCCTCTTCAGTGAACGGCTTGTACATCGGTACAAGCCATACCTTCTCGAGCTCTGCGACTGGTACCCAGTCGAGAGGTCGGAGGACACGAAGGGCATCGTGGGTGGCGGGGAGCCAGCCCGGTGTGAATCCCGGCTCGTAATATTCGGCCGGGATGAGGTTGGTGTCGACGCCACGCAATGTGGCATCGCAGGCGTACCGCAGGGCGTTCCTATCAGCAACGACAACGTTGCGCTCGAGGCGCTCCTGTACATGGACGTTTTCACGACCCAATTCCTTGTTGAGTTCGTATATCTCTTTGGATAGGGCTTCAGTCTTTGGGACAGCCTCGTCCCAGTAGAGGGTCTGCCAGTATGCGGCGCCCTTTTCTGCTTGCGGAATCTTGACTTCAGCCTTATCTTGAACATTCTTGATATACTCCTGAAGGTCGGCGTTTTCTTTTGATACGGAGACATTGCGGTCTCTCAGTCTCTCATTTTCTTCCCTTACTTGGCGAATATATCGGCGAAGGAGATCCTTGTCCTCCGCTGTAAGGAAATTGTCCTCGGCGACGGCGTCGGCGAGGAAGTTGCGTTCTCTGATGAGGAGGCTTTGCTTAGCCTCAAGGACTTCCAGTTTATTGCGAGCGAGATACATATCGTGCTCTATCAAATCGAATTTGAGGGAGATTTCGAGGTTCTCGTCGTCAGTCTTGTTAGCCTTAGACAGGAGCTCTGCGTTGTCCGCACGGAGCAATTTGAGTTCATGGGAAGACTTCTCCATTTTCAAGGCAATCTCTGAAAGAGACTCTGACTCCGCGATTTTGGAGTTCTTCGGGATAGAGTCTGCCGCACGAAGCAAATCATCGCGCATAGCAAGCTTCTCTTGGAGCTCGACAACCTGTTGCTGGAGGTCACACACCTGTGCCTGAGCTTCCTGCTCCTTGTGACCATGAGATTCATAATGGTCGCGCTGCTGCTGCATGGCTTCCAATGTGTTCTCAATCTTGATGTGGGCCACGCGGAGATCTGTTCGTGCCTGCTCCAACTCACTCTTTGTGCGCTGGACTTCTTCGAACACGTCTTGAGCATGCTCGCGCATTTCATCTCCAGGTCTGTCGGTCAATGTGCCGATCAAAAGGTTGTTCTCTGCCTCGAGATCATGGTTGCACTTTGTCAAGCGCATGATCTCTTCTTCGTCGGCTTGCAAGGCATCTCGATATTCGCATACCATTTGTTCAATGTTCGCCTCCATGTGCTTTTGGGCATTTTCCCATTCGCGACGGTTCGTCTTGCTGGCCTCCGTGAGTGTGCGCAGCGCCTCGAGGTGGCGCGTCTCAAGCGCATTGCGCTTCTCGGAAGCATCTCGATTGGCATCTGCGAGCTTCGCCTCGTACATCTCGCGGATGGCTGTGAGAGTGGAGAGATGATGAGTGTTGAGCTTCTTCAGCTCTCGGTCCTTCTCTTCCAAAATTGCTTTCGATGTCTCATACTTATTGGAGACAATCTGCAGGGATGCCTCCATCGACGAAAACTCCTCGAATGCTTGATCAATGAGGGCCTTGTCCCTAAGACGCTGCTCACATTGCTCGAAGTGCTTTTTCTCGAGCTCATGATAGCTCTTGCTTTGATTATACAATTCGAGTTCGAGAGTGGCAGCTCTAAAGTTTAGCTTCTGTTTTCTCAATGCCTCAATAAGGTATCCCATGTTGTTGTCATCTTGGCTTCCACAATATGAACTGCAGCCCGTCTCAGGGCTCGATACGCCCCAACTTCCAATATCACTACGAGGTGTAGATGGTGTTGTATCGGAAGCGTCTTCTGCATATGCCACGGTATGGTTGTAATGTTTCCATGTCTTTTGAGTCGCCTCATGGATGCGTATAGCAATCTATTTGGGGTTTTGGTCAGCAATCCATCGCACTAAACCATATCTCTAGAGAACTCACCATATCATGATTCAGAGAAGACAAATCACGAAATGCCCTCTTGTACTCAAGGTTCTTTACTGTATAGACCATCTCCTCATGGTCGGGGTTGATCTTCCGTAGAAGAGAAATATCTCCGGTCGAATTCCTGTCGACACCACAGATGGTTTTCTTGATGCAAGAGATAAAGTAGGCCATTGTGATAGTCGATGAGGAAGCTGTAGATGGTGAGTTAATATACCTGACCAAAACGGAGTTAACATACTTGTAGTAAAGTAATTGTATTGCTTTAGTGTTGGAATCGAGTGAGTGTATCGAGTGGATGAATTCCTTATAAGAAGAGTGCTGATTGATTTGAGGAAACAGAAGATCTAAAGGAATCCCTATATGAGAGTATACTCAATGTCTAAAGGTGGTTGATGAGAAAGGAACAAGAGATCCGTACACTGTTGATGTACCAGGTATGTTGTGCGTGAACGCAAAAACAATGTGCACGTGTCCATTGTACATTCACTCTACGCTTCCGCCTAACCCCCAAGGGTTGTGGGGCGCTTTGCCAAAACCAACCTATGAGAGGCGCTTGGGGTCAGGCGCCACAGTCGAAGCGACATGATTGTGTGCTCTCACGCCGCGAATTGCTGTTTGATATCCCTCATGTGGTCTGGTAGCGTTCACTCTGGACAGGCCAAGACTGCGATTGTGGCCTGACTAAGACCATTTATGGCGCGCAAGTGGGTGGCGTGCTTTTCCATCTTCCAGGCTTACCATTTCTGGCTGTTTCACGGCAAAGCATGATCATTATTGTGTTTGTATGGCAAATGTCATGTCGCTTTGCGTATCTGGATCTGCCGCAAATAGACTTCAGGGGTGGATGATAGTAAAATTCAATTGATCCAATTCCATTCCCGCAATCATTTGAATTACGGCAAGAAGATTGTATAGTTTAGCTATCTTGGGAACAGGTAAATGAGAGTTATTGATTGGAAGCGCCGTCAAATCAATAAGTTGAAGGAGATAAAGAGTGATACACAGCAATCGCGATTTGTGATAATGACTTGAAAGGAGGGGATGCGAACAACACCTCGATATCGAGTACGATGCATTGAACTAGATAAACTGCATATAACCATGGAATCACGTCTGAACCACTGACATAGCCTCTACGCCTCCACAGCTACCTGCTCATTCTCCCCGACTTTCCTCTTCTTCTTACCGTGATGTCCGCGTGCCTCGACTCTACCCTCGATGGGCAAGACACGGGTAGCAGTGAACAAGTAACCCTCAGCGCCACCCTTACTCGTCATCATGGGATGAGTGCGCCCAGGGAGCACTTGCCATTGTCTTGCGCGTGCAGTCTGCAAAGATGGCGCAAGAAGCAAAGTTGGGTTCAGCGGAAAATCGTCGTCTTCATTACCGCCTTCTGTGGTACTACCGTTCGTCTCTGTATCGTCATCAGACTTTGCCTTGTGCCCATTGGTATGTGGTGTAGATCCGAATTCTCGTGCTATGTAGGCTGCACGGCGCTCTTTCGAGTAGTAGTCGCATAACTCAACTAGAGGCTCAACGTTGGGATTATAGACGACCACTCTTCCACCACCACGGACAAGAGGGACTAGTTCTTTCAGGACAGTCTTTGCATCCATGGCTGTGGCGACTACCAAGCCATCGAAGCCACCTTGACGGGTCTCATCAACGACACTCTTCACGCGTTCCCATCGTCTTCGCTTCTTGTAGTACGTTCCTCGCTTTGTAGACTTCATTGTTGCAAGAACGTCTTCAGAAATTACGTCTGGTTCGTCATAAGATGGGTCATCTTCAGGATGGAGTAGTGAAAGCCATGATAGCGATTTGAGGTGCTTGTAAAGAGGATGCGAAACAGTGGGTGCGCCATAGTCGTAGCCAAAGTATTTGAGATAGGAGAGATTTGGTTGATTGTTAGGATGCAGGACGGTGAGAGTGTTGGTACGCGCAGACATTTGGGGGATATGGGGCCGCGGTGGCTTCCTTGGCCTTGGAGGAGGATCTGAAGGGCCTGCAGTTGTGGAAGGGTCAGTAGCGATTGTAGGATTTGATGTGGTAGTAGCCTCTCCATCAGCATCGGGCATAGCAATGTCTTCATCGTCTGTTCGTGGGACATTCGTTGTTGCTGTAGTCCCATTTTCGGCCCCTTCTGGGGTTGCAACGCCCTCTTCTGAGTCGGATTCGTCGCTCTCATCGTCGGGGTACAGGATGCCCATTTTCTCAGCAAGTGATGCGGTGAGCAAGCCTCCGGTGTCATCTACAACAAGCCATCGCCCTCCTCCTATCTGACTAACACCGTCTTCGCCAATGATGATTTGATTCGTCTCTCCAGAGTGGATGTTGGCCCAGCTGTTGATCAAACCCAGTAGGTCTTCCCTCAGCTCCATAATTTTGTACGCCTCCTTCTCCAAGACGTACTCAGTAAGCAGGCCGACATCCATGGGCAAGGCGGTAAAGCGCTTCATGTACTTCCTTGATTTTCGCAGCGTGTACTTCGCCAAGGAGAAGCTCGTCTTTTCGTCAATGGCATTGTGAGAAGCCATAATCTTGGCAATAATTTCTTTACCAGACCCGGTACCAGCTTTCTTCAGCTCCTCAATTTCAGCCATGGACAATTGCTGGCGTGAAGCATCGTCAATTGTTAAGCGATTGTTGCGCATTATGACCTGACCATCTTCGCCCACAATATCGAAGCCCGCACCAGCCTCGGCTACATCGTCACCAGCGTCAGCATTGGGCGTATGGTCGCTGCCAAGAGCTTCAGCATGAAGTTCAGAAGCGGGAACGACACGCAGTTCGGTCTGAGTTTTGCCATCATCTTTGTCGAGGAGCTCGTAGGTAAGATAGTAGGGCCGTCCGAGGATGAGGTTCGAGTTGAAGGTGCCGAATTTTCCAAGATTTATGGTACTTTATCATGTCAGTATTGTCTCCACACCTGTATGCACTCGGAGGGCTCACTCCAGCTATGCGACGTACGTATTCGGGGTGGTCTCGATAATCTTGAAGAGGCCCGACGGGAGCCGCAGGGCCACGTGCGTATTGGGGCGAATGTAGGAATGCATGGTGGCGCGAACTCGTGCCCGGTGAAAGAACAGTCTATTCCATATGCGACTGTGTTTTAGACGAGTGGCATTGATTTGGCGCACTCTGATCTGTGGCGGCGACGGGCGCAAAGAAGAAGTTCTGGAATTAGTGGATTGGGTGCAGGGATCCGGGCCGGAAGAGCCACACGTGCACAGCCACACTCGGGCGCATCAGCCACCCGCTTCACGTCATTGCCTCCGCTTGGTTCGCGACTTGGGGACTTGACTGTTGAGGCCGCGTATGCCACTCGGCTCTGGTATCCTGTCTGATTATATTCACCGCTGGCCCTGAACACCGCCGACCATCATTACCCCGCCCATCTCCGCCGCCTCCCTCTTAACTACCTAACTATCGCACCCTAAGCTTCACTCGCGCGCATCGGCTTGTCACGAGCTGCGCCGAACCACACCACCACTCACCTGGCTCTCTATCGCCAACCATGGTGCTTCGAAAGCCTGATGAGCAGGATGGCCTCGTGCCAGCGCCCCTCTCCAAGGCGAACCCTCCATACCCAACCACTCCCTCGGAAGAGTACGCCCCTGTACTTCCCTCAACGCCCGATAACAGCATACGCCCGCCAAGCGCATCCAAGTCGCCAGCCTTCAACATCAAGACATCGCAAGACGCTCAACCGCCTAAAAATGGACATGAATCAGACTCAGACCTCAGCGACGACGAGTGGAACCAGACTGACGATGAATTCGAGGAACTCGATCACCAGCAGGTGCCCGCTGCCCTGAAACCCGCAGGCGGCAAGATACCGCCTGTGCCCAAGACAACCAATGTCACCGACGGCCTTCCCAATGCATTAAGGGTGGGCCCACCGACCGGTATACCCATCAAGAGATCGAATGAGAGCATGTCGTATATGCCTACTGGTGGCAGTGCTGCATCATACGGCGGCAGTGCTGCGTCGTATGGTGCCAGAAGCAACGTATCGGAGCAGTCAAACGGTTCCATTCCGCTTCAGACCAACAACCCGTACCTAAAAATGCAGACAACCGGCCAGAGCAACCTGGGCGGAGAAAGCAGCGAAGCTATCTGGGGAGATTCCGTGAGCAATGCTTCCTACAAGTACGATGCGCCAGTCGAGCTGCCAACCCACCAGACACCACGTACGCCCTCCCATGAGATGCGCAACCTTGCCCTGGATGACCGCGCCCCATCCGCACGCCCTGCTCCTCCCGCATATGACCCACCAGCCATTGCAGTGAACTCTCCTACTCCACAATCCGAGCACACTGCTACTCTGATTGACGCAAACCCTTGGGAGTCTGCGCCTGCCCAAGGACACTCTCAACATACTCCCTGGACTGTTCCAGCAGCCAACGCTAGCAGCAGCAATGTAGCTTCCAGCATGGCGCCCGCCCCAAATGCCCCAGAGAATGTCCCTGCTGTGCAACAGACGCCTCCACAACCACACTACACTCCTCAACCAACGCCCCCGACCTCTGAAGAGAACCCGCCAGCACTACCACCGAGGGTATCTCATGAGGGTTTGACACCTGCTATGCCTCCAAGGCCCATTGACACTGGGATAGGCACCAACGTAGCGCCTGGATTAGAGTCGCCTAATACTGCGATGAACCGACAGAGGAAAGAGCACTACCAAATCAAGCATGTGCGCTGGTTCGACAATAGCATCAAGGATATGCGCGTTTCGCCTATCCTTACGCAAAACTTGAATGGACCATGCCCACTGCTCGCTCTGGTAAATGCGCTTGTTCTCTCCACTCCCGCAAACGTAGAGACTGCGTTGGTAGAAACCTTGCGCACGCGCGAAACAGTCAGTCTGGGGCTGTTGCTAGATGCTGTGTTTGAGGAGCTCATGTCTGGGCGACGTGGCGATGCTGCACAGGAATTGCCAGATGTAAGCGAGCTGTACAAGTTCCTCCTCGCATTACACACCGGTCTCAATGTCAACCCCATGTTCGTCCCGGACCCCAATTCAGCCGCGAGTCACGCCACACTTACGAACCGAGCCGGTGCGTTTGAGGACACGCGGGACATGAAGCTATACCGGACCTTTAACATTCCCCTAATGCATGGATGGTTACCAGAAGCCGGCACAGATGCCTTTGTCGCCTTCAACCGTGTAGCTCCTTCCTACGAAGCGTCGCAGTTGGTTCAGTTCCAGGAAGAGGAGCTCAACACCAAGCTGAATGCAGGTGACTCTTTGAACGAAGAAGAGCAGCAGTTGTTTACGGATATTCATGCCATCAAAGAGTTCCTGAACAGGTGGCCAACTCAGCTGACCGACCATGGTCTCAAGGTCATTCGGGACAATCTTCAGCCCGGCCAGGTCGCCATTCTATTCCGGAATGACCACTTTTCTACGCTGTGCAAGAACCCCCACAACGGCCAACTAGTCACTCTCGTTACCGATCAGGGCTATGCATCTCATGACGAGATTGTTTGGGAGTCGCTTATGGACGTCAACGGTCAGGGAAGTCAGCTTTTCTCCGGTGACTTCCGCTCAGTTGATAACAGCAATTCATCATCGGGACAGCACGGTCAGCAGTCTGAAAATCTCATTGATGTTGAAGATAACCAGGGATGGACTACGGTACAAGGCCGCCGAGGCAATCAGCAACAGTTAGCTGCCTCAGGGACTGATGCACAAGATGCGGAATTGACATCACCCACTGGCCTCAGTAGAGCTGAACAAGAGGACCATGACCTCGCGCTAGCACTACAGTTGCAAGAAGAAGAGGAAGATCGCCAAAGACGTGAGACCGAGGAGCGTGCACGCAACAATCAGGTACCACAACCTGGTGGTGTCCGTCCTCCCTCTCGACCTGAACAACCTCCGGTCATACCCCCGCGTCGCAACAACAACATCACTGGACACCGCCCTGTTACCGAACCTGCTCCACCTCCAACATATGAGGAAGCATCTGGAGCACCACGCTACAACCCACCAGCAGGTCACCCCGCCAACCCCGGAGCCCCTATACCTCAGCACGGCAGCGCATACCAAAGCACAAACGGTATCCGCCCCAACGCCGGAAGGCCCATGGCTTCACCAAACATGGTAGCCGGTAGACCTGGGAGAAGACCCAGTGCTGGTACCAACGGTCAGGCTGCTCCAAACGGAGAAAGGGAAAAGTGCATTGTCATGTAGATGTCTCAAATCTGTCCCGCGCGAAGCTCTTTCTGTTACTTGATACTAACATGGTTTCTATATACGCTTTTTAGGGATCGCTCAGATGCCTCGTCTTGTGGTTGCAATGTGTGTTAGATTTGGTGGGCTTGGTGTTTGTTTTTTGTCATATGGAGGAGAATTGGTTATTATTATACCCGTCGTTTGTGTGGAAAGTTGAGATTGCCGTCTAGTCTGTGTACATAGAGACTAATTAGTATGTGGAAATTGAGATTGCAGTGTACTATTATTACATTTATTTCAAATCCTATCGTTGTTGTTTTTTGCGTTGTCCATCTCATACCTTCAACCCTATTCCTACAAGAAACCACCAGATGATCGATCTGATATCCTTTTCTTCAACCCCCCTCTCAACACAAGTACATAACCTTAAGTCTCCCGACCTGGAAGAAAAAATCCCAACACCCTTTGAACCCTACATGAACCGCTCAGACTACCTCATCTTCTCCCTACTCTCCATCCTCGCCAACTCCCTAACCCACTCATCCTGCTCCTCCCTCGACACACGGCGCTGCTCCTCCTCCCCACCATCTCCTTCCCTCACACTCCCAAGACTAAGCAGACGCGGCGGCGACAAGTGCAACGGCCCACACCCAATATCCCATCTCCCCGCGGTGTAACCGCCCCCTCCCGCTCAACCAACGACGCAGTCTCACACCTCCAACTCACACTACTCTCCGTACTCGCCATACTCCCCCTAAATTCCCCACGCATACCACACTCCATCGCAGGCGCAGGTCGTAGGGCAGGATGCACATCCGTCTCATACGTCAACGAGCCCGTAAGACGGAGTTCGGTGCGTTTGCGCTCCATTTTCTTGAGTTCGTCGGCCCAGTCGGTCAGGTCTTGCAGGGTGGGTGCGTGGCGGCGGGAGGTGCGGAGGTCGGTGTTGAGGTTGGGGGTTGTGGTTGTGGTTATGAAGGTGGGGCGAGGACGGGGGCGAAGGGGGTGGGCAGAAGTTGTGCTGGTGGAGCGGTGGGAGGGGGATGCTGGGATGCTGTTGTGGTTACGGAAGGGGAGGTCGGAAGGGGGTAGAGAAGACGGGGTGGGTGTAGGGTTGCTGGTGGACCTGTAGCCTGGTGTGCGAGTGCTGTGCTGTGAGGTTTCGATGGTGGATGCGCCGGAAGAGATATCGCGGAGGATGAGGTTTCGAGTCGCGGTGTTCTCCTCGAGTAGGGAGACGCAACTACTGCTTGCGCTACGCAGACTGCGAATGAAGTTTTCGTAGTCATACCCTTCATCGTCGCTGCTATCCTCTTCCCCAGCTTCAGCACGACACTTGACAATGTGCTCAGCGTCTTCGACGATCTTGGCTGCCCACGCGTATTGCACTGCTTCCTCGGTGAGTTGCGTTTCTCGATTCTGGCGCTTCTCACGATTCGCACGCAAGAGATTGCGTTGTGCATCAAGAGTTGTACTGATTTCCCCCGTATATTCGTTCACAGTGAGCCATGAATCGACATCTTCTAGTTTTTCAATCGTCTGGATGCTATAATGGCGAAGATGTGAAGCCTCATCATCGGCGAGCTCCTCTATTTTATTCGGAAGAGTCGTGTCGGTATGCTTTGAGAGATCCAGCTGGCACGAGTCGAGAACGTATTGAGAGGCTTGCAATTCGTCTTTGGGCTTGACCATAGATGGGTGGATGACATCGTGTTGGCCGTCGGAAGATAGACGGAGGGCGTGTCGGTTGGCGCAGAGATGGAGAGCCATCTTCTTCACGTCTCTACGTACTTCATTGTAGGCCGCTTTGGCATCGGGGTCATTGGGTGGGTCTGATGCCCAGAGTCCGAGTGGTACGGCAGTGACGGGCGTTGGTGCGACAGAAGCCACACTCGCAGGTGTCTTAGGCGAGAGAGATGCCCATACACCTCCCTCAGCAAAAGCATTCTTCATAGGACCTGAAGTAGCAGAGAGTGGGGTTGGGGGACCAGAAGCCACGATATCCCACCGCGGTCGGACACTTGCTGACGAAGAGCTGGCGATGCGTGGGAGATGTGCTGGGCGCAATGGATGCGGACCCGTCGACGAGGTGAGTGACGAGGAGCTGGAGCATAGTAGCCGTCGGATGCCTTTTGCGGTGGTCGAGTGCGTAGGCTGCATTGGTGGATACCATCCAAATACGATAACCTTGTCTTCTTTTGCGGCCCGCTCAATCCGGCGTACAACTTCCCTCCACTTGGCTTCTGTAAACCACTCTCTACACCAATAGATGACCCGCTCCCAGAAGACTGGGTGCTGCTCTATTTCGAGACTCTTCAAGCCCCATTTCTCGTGTTTGCTCAGCTCCTTGCCTGTAAGCGGGGATATATGTTCCTTGCTCTTCTCTTTATTCACAGGAACTTTCACAAAGTCTTCGGTAGGGGTTTGGACGGGAGCTTTGACGGGGACTTCGATGGGGACTTCGACGGAGACTGCTATGGTGTCTCCCGCAGGGTCTCCCATGGCGGTTTCCATGCAGACCTTGATAATGTCTCCTACTCAAGGAGGAAAGATGACTTGTCAGAGGGTTTCGGAATAGCAGTTGCGATCAGTCTGTCTGCCTGTTGCGATTGTGGGAAGAGATCTCCGACAAGAAGGCCTACCTATACAGTTGCCAAGACCGGGCGTGAAAGTGAAAACTGGTCAGTGAGCGACCAATACAACGTGAGTTCAAGTTGCGCGCAATCATTGTTCAGCATTTGCGCGTTGTGTCAGGGTCTCGGCATTATGCAAACCTGCAAACGCGCAACTCGAGGTGAAGCGCCAACCAGACCAGAAACATTGTAAGAGAAGTATGCGAAAATGAAACAAGACATGGCTTTAGTATTATTTGGCAAGCCTTTTCAAATGGTATCGAACTCCACTGGTGCAAAGCAAGACCTATTCTAAGAATGTAAAAAGATTCGTATGTACAACATTAAGGGCGCGGTCGGCTTCGCGCTCCTCAATGACGCAAGATATGTTAATCTCGCTGGCGCCTACGTTGAATTAGCGACTTAGTCTTCTAAACACACGGAGTAGAATGGTGACATACCTTGCGAGATCATTTCAATGTTAATGTTGTTCTGACCCAACACGCTAAAGAACTTGCCGGAGATGCCAATCATATTCTTCAGCTGCTTACCCACCAAACTTACAATAGCCATGTCAGGCACAATATCAATGGTACCGAGAGCACCAAGATCATTGACAGCGCCTTGAAGATCCTTGGACTGGATCTTGTAGTCATCCTCGCCTCCGCCGCTTAGAAGAGCAGACTCGGAGTGCAAGGCCATGGACACGTGCACCTCGGATGAGGAGATGAGATCGACAGACAGACGCCAGTTGTCAAGGATGTTGAAGATGTTCATCAAGAAACCATGGGCGCGAGTGCGCTTGTTGCTGTGAACGTTGAGCACAACAATGTTGTGCTTGATCGTCACAGCGGTGGGCCGCTTAGGCCCTTCAAGCTGAGTAAGGAGACTCGAAGAGCGAGTGCGGAAGAGTCCCGTATCCTTCAAAGGCGCGCGGTCGTCAATATCCCGGAGGTTGTCAGGGAAGATGATAGTTCCAGCATTGCGTGGGTTCATGACGTTCTTGATGCGAATGGGAATGCGGGCGCGAATGACCTGCTCCATGGTGAAGGGGTGAATGACTTCGGATCCGTAGAATGTCAATTCAGCAGCCTCTGCAGGAGTGACGCTGGGGAGCAGCGCTGCGGTAGGGACCTTGCGCGGGTCTGCGGTGAAGATTCCATCCACCTCTTTCCACACTTGCAGCTCCTTCGCCTTTATGCCAACAGCAACCAATGCGGCGCATAGATCAGTATACCCGCGTCCGACTGAAGTCAAGAGACCGCCGGGTACGTTTCCGAAGAAACCAGTAATGACGGGGACCTTGTCTCCACATGCTTCTACCTGACTGGCGAAATCCACAGCCAAGTCCTTGTAGAACTTTTCCTGCAATCCTCCTTTGATGGGCGCGTTGGGCTTGATCACGTCGCTAAGGTCGACGAACTGGGCGGGGGTACCACGGTCGTTCAGTATCGCAGCCATGTAGCGACAGCTCAGCTTCTCGCCCTTGCTGATAATCTTGTCCTCGGTGTGGTTGGTGACCTCCTCGAGATGCTGTGCCGACTCCAAGATCTTGATCAGACTCTCGCACTCGGCATTGACCTCTTCGGTATAAGACGCCAGAATTTCCGGGCTCTTCAAAATGTCTTTGCCCGCCTGGATATGGTCGAGGCGGATTGCTTCGACAATTTCATCGTAGGCCCGGTGGTTGGGTCTCTCGGCAGCTCGAGCGGCACGAAGGAGGCGGTTGGTGGTTCCTTCGAGCTTCGTGTTGTTGCTGCGCGCAGAGCAGACTATAGCGGCGCGATTCGTCTGAAGACCGGCCCTGTGAAAGGTTAGTGCTTTGTGCTCATGTTGCGCACTTGAATGGGTGTCGTACTTGACAATGTCCGCTATATTCTCCGGGAACTTGCCGACACTTGTACCACCGAACTTGAGGACCACCCATCCTCCGGGAAGATGCTTTTCCTCTGTGTGAGCTATCCGCTCCGACTGGTGGGTGTGTCCGTTTGTGTATGCTGACATTTTGAAGAGGTGGCTTCTCGAGTCGAGCTCTGGTCAATTGCGCGTGCAAAATTTTCTGGGGAGTATACAGGTGGCGAGGGCGTCTTGGGACGAAGGTGTTGAAGAGTGGATGACGTGTGTAGTGCGAAGTATGGGGTTGTGAGGATTGAGCGAATTCTCGAGTGCTTTTAGTGGGGAGGCCTTGAGTCAAAAGTTCGCGCCCGCAATCGGCGCCGTACTCACTGCAGGGGATGCAGACGCCGCGCGACGCCAGCGAATCCTCCGGGCCAGGTTCACGCCGCCGACACAGCTGCACCGGTTAAAAGAAAATGCTGCAGGGACGGGTCTGATGCATGCACGCCCGCTGAGGGTTGATCCGAACCATCGGCAGTTCTATCGCGAACTGTTCACGTGCTCGAGCGTGTCTGCTGTTCTTCCCTTCTCCCGCTCTTCGTCGCTGCGACTCTTGGACGGCGCTCCAGCTGGATTTTACGGAAACACTATGTAGCTGATGAGGAGCCCGATGGTCTGCTATAGGCGCCGTGACACCGGAGCCAGTCAGATAAGTACAGTCAGACTACCAAGTGTCCGTTGCATGACTAAAGCATGCATATCCGCACTTGAGTTACCATGCACCGAGCTGAGTGGTTCTCCTGAATTCCGGTCAGTACACAGTAATGCGCAAAATAAGGCAGGTGACATATTTGCGCCATGTTGGAGAGCGCACAAGTCCTGGGCAAATCCCGCCGCCGGAATTTTCCAACGTGAATCAGGAAGACGAAGACCCGAGCCACGTGACATGCAACTAACACGGCAAAACCATCAAATCCTCCTACAAAAGCACATGACAGCGGGGATCCGTGACTAGACGTGCATTAAATGGGAGGCCTGACTCTTGCCTTTTCATCATCTGCCGAGTTTCTTCGTTTACCTATTGCAATCCACATTTTACTCATTTGATATTATCTTGTCGGATCTGATCTCATAGCTACCACCATGAGACGAGAGCATTGCGCTTGGGCCGCTGCCCGCTGAGGGCAGAATTCTGCTATTAAAAATCAATCAGGACAATGGAAAGCTGTATGAAAAGAGAGATAGGTACGAGACATCAGCCTTGTACATTAAGCCTGATTCACGGCTCCGAAATCTCGTACATGTTCGCATTTAAAGTTAAAAATACATGTGTCATACCTCATGTGTCATGTCTTATGTGTCATGCTTCATGTGTCATACATATCAGATTTGCCCTTGGGTATCACCGTGAGTCTGCATACCACCTTGTGGTATTGTTCCTTGAAAGTTTGCTCACGAAGCGCGTCATTCAAGGTCCTCGAAAAGTGCTTAAGCGGCACAGCAATGGGTGATAGGGTTTGAGTGTGATCTCTTCACTGTCATTGCATTCAGTGGGACTTCTTCGTTCTGAACCCACTACATGATTCAAAGTCAGTTCCTTTCGTTATAGCCCTGGGGTGCTATTCATAGAAAGGAAGACTTACGTGCTCAACAATGCATCCGCCATCCATACGGAACCGCTCAACGACCTCTCTAAACTGCTTTTTATATTTCACCCAGCCCTGAGGATACTGGAACGTTGAGCCCAGTGGCGTGATACTTGACAGGTCCCAAGTGAGAGAAAAAACATCCCATCCGGTGTCAAATCCATTCAACAATGGAATGCCGTGGTTCTGTTGTGGCAGTCTCAGGTCAGCTCACTTGATAGATCCCTTCCCCCGGAACGAAGTATACTTACAACATAGTCCTGGGCAACATATGAAAACGCCTCAGTGATATCAGGCTTGTAGATCAAAGCCTGCACAAAAGTATTAAACCGAGCTTTGTTCTGCATTTCTGTGGCACTGGGATCGCGCACACATGGCGCTGGCTTAGCGAGAGCTGCCCGAGGCTCCACCAGCACGTCGGTTCTGGAGTGCAGACCGGTTGGTGCTGCAAGCACAGAGACAGACGTAACAATTGTCGAGGCAAGAAACGTAAAGCGCATCTTCGAAATGAGTTTCGAGTTTCCCAAGCAATCAGTGTTCTAGGGTAAACGTTTGTGCATCACTTGAGGCAAACTGGTATCGATTTATACGTGTCTTTCCCCCCTCTTTTGGCGTCACGCTCACAGCTGAACTTCGGGAATACCGCCTCCATTATCCCAGGGTGTTTCTTTTTATCTGCCGCTCAATTGCCTCCCTCCTTTCCCACGCCACCAGAAATGCAGGGGTCGCTGCAGATATCGTAGTTTTCAGCCAAAATCGTAACAAAATACCATAGGACAATTGTAGTGTCAATTTGGTTAGTCGGATACTGTAATTCAGCACCTCTTTCATCAATCAACGACCTCTGAGCCAGCAAAAGGTCAGCTAGGTATGTAGCTTTGTTGTCACATAATGCCAAATTTGGTATAGCGCTAGTCGTCCTATCCTTGCCAGCTGGAAGCGGTTCTGTAATCATCGCTAAGGTAAATTTAAATTCCCACTTCGGTACCATTGACATCAGATAGATCAGCACTAGGCGTGAGTGTTGTTCTTTCTTAGCTACTAGTCACTTGGCCTGAGGCCTCTCCGGCTTTATTCCGGGGGTCCTCCACACTTACGGGAACGATTAGCGAATTTTGCGGGGAAACCAATGCTACTAGGGTTTACCCTAGATTCGGCAGTTTAAAGGGTCGGCTTGGTGGTCGGTTGCAGTCATCGAGCCTTGCATTATGGCTTAACAGGAGTAGCGTGGGTTTCCTGTAGAGAGCGAATAACATCAGCAAGGGCTGCTCGCAGCGATAGCATTAGTCCACATATCTCTTTTGATAAAGAGAAGAAGTGCCAAAGGTGGTTGTGCTTGAGTGATCTCTACTACGCTCAGCTTTCTTTTATGGACGCTTCTCAGCGTGCACAATATGATTTCTAGCAGGAACCTAGCGAATGACATTCTACTGCTCCGATTGTAGTGTGTTTTCGAGAATATTGCATTGCTTCACCCCTCGCACATCACTGCTCCCGGCCGGTAAGATGAAGTGAAGGTCGCTAAAAACCGATCGTTTCAGCCTTTCTTTGCTCCTTCGGCAGTTGCTTTGCATCAGGAAATTGATAGTATGCGTTTCGGCAATTGCCATGTTATGCATGTCGCAGCAGGTCAGCGCTGGGACGGGTCGGCAATTGGATGAGATGTCAGCTTTTGCATACCGGCCGGTTGTTTATTTACATGTAGTCACGTGCCTCGAGTCATTCCTAGTGGCATCGAGTTGCAAAGACCGCAACATATTTCACTACATCGACATAATCACTTGGTTTTGTTGGACTAGACAAAAGATGATATTCTCTTGTTTTTTGGCTTGGCTATATTATTGTTTAGACATTTAGCGTATAGTAATTGCTTGTCGCTTCATCACTGCAAGCGTATCTAGAAGTCTCTATCCAGCCTGACTTGAAGATTATACTTTAGCGTTCCCGCCTTGTATGCATTATTTCTGTGGTTGCATGTTGTGCAATCGTGACGGTTTGTATATAGATATGAGACCTCGGCTATGTCATCGGTTCGTTAAATGATTACGACGGCGACCAGCAATCAGATTGAGCGGATATCCATGCTATTCATCAGACATGGAGTGTGAACTGTATCGAACAAACTTCTGAGTACAGTGACGATCAAATATATATAAGTACATATCACACACCGCAGTCAGCAGCCTCGCTGTCGCGTGCCTTGTCCTTTGGCAAGATAAGCAACGTGTATGATTACATGCATCGTCTGGTAGTCTTGTTGCAATTTTAGGTGGGTCTTAGTATTGGTTGAAATGATTACCCTGTTACCTACCTTAGCGCAATATACGATCTTCCATTCTTTGTTTCGCCCACGGTGATTGTGTTTTTGGGTGATGAAGATGGCAAGGAGTCAAGGATCAGAGCGCACTGAATAGAAATATGGCCATCTAAACTATTCATATGCTGTGCCCTTCTACTTTCCTGCTTAGTTCAAACGTCTTGTATCTAGCCGTGAGAGATCATTGGCCACCTTATACGTACGCTGATCTTGAGTGGATCGGCGCAACACGTTTGATTGGCCAATTTTCCGCTTAACAGAGTTTACCAAAAGATATGTCACAATCTTCACAAAGCAACCAAATCCTCCGTTGTTGACTTTTTTTCGGACGATTTCAGCGATGGACGGACTATCTCGACTAATGGTTGACGTCATTAGCCCGCCGCTAAGCCTTATTTGGCACACTACGAAACCCTCCGGAGCCGAAACACAGAGCGTATGGGTAGACGATAGCTTCACGTGTCCAGAGTAAAAGACACTTAAGTAGTTTTCCGTCCTATTCTCAGCTCATTCACTCATTTCGAAGCTGTCCCAAGCGACTGGCCAAGTAAAACAAGTTGCCCGCTATGAACTACATATCAAGTACATAGCTTCCTAACCGTTGTCAATCCCAACTCAACTAAAACAAATAATAGATATCGTCAACTCGGATGCAGTCATCAATCCCCTCCTGGACAATGGCTACCTCCCACACGCGGTTATTCGTGTAGGAATCAGGCGCCAGCTAGCTGATCGCCTACAGTCGATAGCTACTACGTCCTTGGAGTCCGCTTACGAGACCAAGATGAAGTACGTCAAGCTTCTCCGGGAAAGGCCAATTGCAATTGAGACCGCGACGGCAAACGAGCAGCACTATGAGGTAGGGACGAGTGTCCTCAAGGGCATGTTGGGCCCGCGGATGAAGTATTCGGCCTGCTTGTATGAGAAGGGCGGAGAGACGCTGGCGCAAGCCGAAATTGCCATGATGCGATTGTATATCGAGAGGGCGGAACTGAAGGATGGAATGAGTATTCTGGACCTCGGGTGAGTTCTTAACTCTTCTCTGATTTTGCATTTGCTGTATCTACAGTACAATGGTCACGTGGATCAAAGGCGAACAAGCAATGTGTACGACATAAGATGGCTAATAATGGCTATAGATGTGGCTGGGGCTCAGCATCTCTCTTCATGGCGGAAATGTTCCCCAACTCCAAAATTACTGGCTTCTCGAACTCGAGAACACAAAAAGAATACATTGATAGCGTTGCCGTATCAAAAGGACTCAAGAACTTGACCATCATTACGGGCGATGTTGTCGACTATGAGTTCCAGCCCGAGGCATACGACCGCGTCATTTCTATTGAGCTCTTCGAGCACATGAAGAATTACCAGCTTCTGCTCCGCAAAGTAGGGTCTGCGCTGAAACCCGGCGGCAAGCTCTTCGTTCACATCTTTGCGCACTGCACGACTCCGTATGATTTCGAAGAGGGATGGATGACGGAACACTTCTTCACGGGTGGCACTATGCCTTCGGCTGATTTACTGCTCTACTTCCAAGATGACTTGAGAGTCAAGAACCAGTGGTGGGTGTCCGGTATGCATTACTCAAAAACATGTGAGGATTGGCTGGTTACCATGTTGAAAAACAAGGATAGTATCTGGAAAGGACTGGTGGAGACGTATGGAGAGGAGGGTGCGTTGACTTGGTGGAATAGGTGGCAGGTTTTCCACATGGCTTGCTCCGAGTTGTTCAGGTGGAATGGGGGTGATACATGGGGTGTCAGCCACTATCTGTTTGAGAAGCCTGCCGCATAGATTATGAAGGCAGGTGGGAGTTGTTGAAGGCGAGTGCAGACTCGCATAATGTTTAAGAATCAACCCCGTAAATATCACACCGAATTCCATGAAATTGTAAGATGATAATGAACAAAACTGCATCTGACGTGATCGCTCTGTTTTGCATTGATTCGAACTTCTTGGCGCTGTCCACACGGGACGTTGCAGCCACTGGCCGTGGTGTCTATCTCGAGTACTCCATTGTCTGTACAATTGCGCTTGCTTCGTGTGAATATCTTCTAAGCTTTCTCTCCACGCCCGACGCCCCTCTATTCATTGTTCAATGGTCCCATGGGTGCTTCCAGCCCAAAAGCGCGGGGCCGTCCTTCTTCGCGCGGTACATCAACTGCGCCTGTCAGCACTTGTCTCGCCCCTATCGAATCTCTAACATACAAAGAACCACATTGACGCGCCGAGACCCGTTGCCATGAATCGGTATAGCGGCCTGACCGGGTGGATATGAATGGGGTGGTTTGGGTGCGGCGCATATTTGGGCGGGCCCATGCGGGAGCGTGTGGGTTGCATCGTGTCTGGTGAGCCTGTGAAAGCATCAATACTGGTGCCAGCTTTGGGGAGTGTCGCACTGCGCCTACCTGCGGTGTCTGCGGTGCAATGGCTCTGTGACGCTTTTGGTGGGTGAGGTGTGATTAAGGTCGATCGCGGACTACGCTAACACTGCGGTGCCAAGATCGCTCCATCAACCGTCAATCGCGGCTTCTGCTCCTTCACCCGCGACAATCCCGACCACAATCGTCATCTCTACCCAGCAGCTTTGGCCTCGAGCCCCCCGCCCATGCCAGCGCCCACCATCGCGACCACACACTCAGCGCTGCAAAGACGTCGACCGATACATCGCGCTCACCCTCGCTGCATACGTTAACGCCGCGGCCCACTTAGCCCAGAGTAGGAAGCGTGCCTGCGGACCCTTGAGCATCACGTATTGTTAACACCACCGCCGGTATGGCGACTCCGGCGGGTGCCCCCCCGTCGCGCACCCTCCAGCGCCAATTCAAGGGATGCTGCAAGATTGGCGAGTACGAGATGATGCAGAAACTGGGCGAAGGCACTTTTGGTGAAGTCCACAAGGCGCGTCAGCGATCGACCGGCCATGTCTTTGCGCTCAAGAAGATTTTGATGCACAACGAAAAGGACGGATTTCCTATCACGGCGCTGCGAGAAATCAAGCTCCTCAAGATGCTGTCGCACGATAACGTCCTGAAACTAGAGGAAATGGCTGTAGAGCGGCCCAAAACCGAAGGCAGGAAACGTGCAATACTGTACATGGTCACGCCATACATGGACCACGACCTGTCAGGTCTCCTCGACAATCCCGAAGTCCAGTTCAAACCACCGCAGATCAAGTGTTACATGCTGCAGCTGTTCAAGGGTCTAGCATACCTACATGACAACCACATTTTACATCGAGACATGAAGGCAGCCAACCTTTTGATCAACAACTCTGGGCGATTACAGATAGCCGATTTCGGTCTTGCCAGACACTACGACGAACCAGTTCCACAAAGAGGCAGGGGCAATGGCGAGGCCAAACGCGAATACACTTCCCTAGTTGTTACTAGGTGGTACCGACCGCCAGAGCTACTTTTGCAACTCCGAAAGTACACACCGGCGATTGATATGTGGGGCGCAGGCTGCGTCTTTGGTGAAATGTTCAAGCGTAAGCCCATCCTCACAGGCCAAAGTGACATACATCAAGCACAGATCATCTTCGAGCTAGTTGGGTCTCCGAACGATACGAGCATGCCGGGCTGGAATGAGCTACCAGGAGCGGAACCTGTTCGCGCGTTCCCAATGAGTACAGGAAACATTGCGCAAAGATTTCGTGAACTATCGCCCCTTGGACTCTCGCTTATCAAGGACCTCATGAGACTGGACTGGCGGAAACGTATCAACGCGATTGATGCCATCGATCATCCGTACTTCCGAGAGGAACCATTACCGATGCGCGAAGAAGATATTCCTCACTTTGCCGACTCACACGAGTTGGATCGCCGGAACGCGCGTGGCCAAAGGCAAGCACTTCCCCCTGCGCCACAAGGCGGTACTGTAGGTGGCGGACCCAACGGAGAATGGACAGGCCAAGGTCCACCACCACAGCCATGGCAAAGCAACGACCGAAGATACGGCGGCCCGCAAGACCGAGGACCACCAGGCGTCGACCGCGGTCTCAGGGGCGGTGGCGGTGGCGGCTACGACCGACGAGGCTACGAACACCGACCGCCTCCACCCCCTCCCCCAGGCGAACGACGTCCAAACTGGGGCGGCGGCGACCGTGGTCACAACAACCTCCCTGCTCCTCCAGCAGACGGTCGCCACCCCCTGCCCCCCGTCCCCCGTTACGGCCCGGACGGCGCAGACCGCCGCAGAGGCCCCGTTCCCCCCGGCGATACCTACATCCCCAGCTACGGTGGAGACGGACACCGTCGCTCCCGCGAACCAGACGACCGTCCGCGCCGCGGCTCCCGCGACTCTGGCAATTCCCGCGAGGGTTACACGGACGACCGCGCTGATCGCAACCGCGCGTATCGCGACCGTGACCGCGACCATCGAGGCGGCAATAGAGGAAACTTTGTGCAGGAGAGACGGGACGGACGTACGCGATCGAGAAGTCCCGAGCGTAGAGATGCGAATGGCAGTGGCAACGGGAGGGGTAGGGATGTCTCGGATATATACAGGAGGAGATGATGGTGATCAAGGTTTGCTGTCTGGTCTTTTTCTTCTTTCTTCTTTTGCATTCGCTGTTCGTGGCGACCACCTGGCCCTGTTTTGTGGAGGTTGGGGTTGCGCCCGCACAAATGGAGGAGAGGATTGCTATGGTTGACACTCCCGAAGTTGAATGGAGGACATGGGGAAGAAACGTAGATCAAACGCGCATTTCTAGTCTTCTTCTTTCTTTCTTCTTCCCATTCTTTGTATTTTTAGGTGGACGCAGAGGCGGATGTTCTTGCCTCTGCGTCTGTGAAGTGCGAAGATGAAAGCAGGGGGGGGGGCATATCACACAGATTGGGGTTTCTTCGTTCTTCGCACTCTTTTCTTTTCTGCTGTTCTGCTGTTCTGCTGTGGAAAGCGGGTTGTGCAACACTATACACATATTTTGGTGCTACGCGCGTATAGGCAACAAGAGGGGCAAAACTTGTGTCGATCTTTTGCATTTTCCGGGCGTTTTTTTTGGCTTGCTCCTCTTCTCGATATCCTTGCACGCAATAGCAAGCAGCCTTTTATGGTCTTTTTTTCCCTTATTATTCTTGCTTGAAAAGCGGAAAGTATGGTCCACGCTAGCAACATTGTGGTTCAAGCTAGCTTCGTACACAGAGGCTTCTTTGATTTTGAGTGTCTTCTGGTTTTTTATCGTTTGGGGTTGGTGGGTTGCGGGTGAAGGAGTGCACGTGGTTGATACCATAGATACGAGTAAGACGCGTGTAGGATAAAAAATTGAGTTTGTTTGATGTATATATATATATTTTTTTGCTTTGATGACTTTGGATACTTGGTTTGCTATTGGCCTCGAATTGAGAGGTGGATCTGCGTTCGATAAGCGTAGCAGATGTAGAATTTGGCGACTTCGGATCTGGGTCTTCTTGCTTGCATCCCCCAAATGGAAGTGCTAGATCCGGCTTTTGTCTAGCTTTTCCTTGCAGTGCCTTGGACATGGTACCGTTGGCGTGGCACTGGGACGCAGATAGCGCGGGGCCATCGGGGCCTCTGCGTACGGGCTGCTTCAGGCCAATATCGTCTTCACATGCTGCCGGAGTGTAGGACTGCACTTGCGAATCCATCCATGGCTCAAATCTTCTCATGTAATAAGTTTCTTCAATAGCCTTCCCAGCTTCTCACTCCGGATCCCAATCCGGACGGCACGTGCACCCTTCACTCCGGACATGCATGACGCCCGTCCGGCTAGCCTCAACCAACCACTCCGCCCACTCAATCTCATGCTCAACAATTGTGCAATGCTCGCCCGTCTCAACCCTCTCTTCCTTCACCTTGAGCAGGAAATCACGCAGCTTGAGTGCACACTTGGCCATGGAATTGGTTCCACCGGGCGAGCTCCGGCGTTGCTGCTCAGCGTACATCATGCGCTCCATGCGAGTTAGCAGCTGCGCTTGGATGTCACTGGATTCCTCGAATCTGGCGACGAGCGCTTTGGCACGGACTTTGAGGCGCAGCGTGTCTTCTCGGGTCGCACGCGTACAAGGTAGAACGCGCTGGGGACGCGCGAGATGGAAGGACCCGACGTCACGCAAAACTACGAGATCGTTGAAAGACTGGTCTTCGATTGTCGATGTCGAATCTTTGGAAGTCGGCCGCGGAGTCTGCTCTGTTCCGTTCCAGTTGAGACAGGGGCTGGGTTGCGCAGAGTAGCCAGTGTCTTGGTCCGATGGATGCTGTTCATCAGAATCCCAGTCGCATTCGGTGTCTGGGTAGTCATCTGAGTCGCACATGAAGGTTTCAGAGTAGCTAAAGCCATAGCCTTCTCGCTTCTTCTTTGGCTTTGCTAGTTGAGGTGCTTGCGAGGTGGACTCTGAATGCCGGCGCGGTTCCTGAGATGGTGATGCCCTGGTTTGAGGTGGATGTGCAGAGACGGACCGGTTCGCGCTGCCAGTCATAGTAAGTCCGGAGAAGCTTTGGGTGAATGCTTCTTCGCGGCCTCTCCGGGCTGGAGGCTCATCAGGCGGTACTGAGAATGAAAATCTGAGTTCAACGTTTTGCGGCTTTGCTTGCTCCTTCTCTGACTTTGGTGCCTGTTTCTGTGTTGATCGCACAATCGCCTGCGACTTTACGGCGGGCGCTGGGTGTTCCATCCATGTTGTCAGAGTCGCATCCACATTTTTCTATGCAAAAAGGTTAAGACAACGGCCCAGAATCAAGAGCAAGCAATGCGACTCACCGGTCCTCGCCACCTAGTTGGTCGTTTAGTCTTGCCACTCATAAATCGTCGCTCCTGCAGGCTGACGGTTTCTTTGGGTACAGGGAGCGGGATGGGATCAAAACTCCGGCGCGTACTCAGCCGCTTTCTTGTAGGGCCTCTTCCCTTCTGCTCTTCCTCAGCTACAAACTCTACTTGTCTGGTTGTTAAGAAGACCTACGTTGACTGGCATGTTCAGAGGATGAGGGGTATTCTCGAAAATAATAGCTGACCCAATATCTGTCACAGCAGCGAAAAGGACAAACTCAATTCCAGTATGAGTGGGTGATTTTAAAGGTTGCTGTTTATCGATGGGGTGGGGTGTTTGGGGTACATCTAGGCGACTTGAGTAGGCTGCGCGTTGGGGTCGCGTGAAGGCTGACTAGCGCGGTTAGCGCCGAACGTGGCTCCCATCCTATCACCGGGGTGAATCTCCATGTTTTGATACACAAATGCCCCACCAAGTTAGGGTCCGTTCACAACTGGAATACTAAGTACGTGTGGATTTGTGTTGATCACGCTGCCATGGCGACAACTAAATGGTATCATTTTGAGTATCTCGTCACTCTCATCTTGCTTAGTATAAAACGAGCCCCTCATTGGGCATACATGCATCACCTCTTGCCGTTCTCCAGAAGCTCCACCCCGGTCCTTACAACACCAATAGCTGCACCAGTCTGGATCGCTTCACTACCGCCTCCACTTAGTCTATACTCAATATCTGCCAAACCTGACATCCATGTCACCATAACTTGTGGCGGCACATCATTTGCGACCAGCTCTTCGCTAATCGCCGTTAGAATATCTGCAAGCGCCAGTCCCTTCAAGGTCTTGAGATTGTTTATGGTCCGTAGACACTCTGTCATGTCATTCTTTGACAGCAAAGTTTCGATAATGTACTTGATGTCGGAAGGATGCGGGGCTGCTATACAGTCGTAGATGGTGGTTTGAGTGATTTGGTCACGCACAATTGAACTTGGGTCGACCGCGGGCTTGCCTGGGGACTGGAGTGGCGTGCTGGAAGCGTGGCAGGCTTGTAACACGTTGAGTGCTCGTCTCATATCTCCCTTGCTCAGAGTGACAAGCGAATCGGTGGCGTCTTGTGTAATGTTTACTTTCTCCTCCTCGATCACTTTGTCGACTAGATGCCTAATATCCTGGTCCTTGAGCGGCGAAAATCGAAATCTCGTACAACGCGAGAGCAGTGCGGGTGAGAGTTTGTGTGTATAGTTTGCAATGATGCAGAAACGTGTGTTTGCCGTGTACTTCTCCATGATTCGTCTCAGTGCCATCTGGGCGGTGGAAGTCATGGCGTCGGCTTCATCGAGAACAATGAGTTTGAAAGTTGCTAGCGAGGAGTCTCCTGCTTTGGGTGCGGCAGAGAAGATTTGCTTGGTACTGCTGAATGTCTTAATCTGCTCTCTGACTACCTCGATACCTCTGTCGTCTGATGCGTTTAGTTCGAGAACCATCTGCCGCATATTCTTGTTTCCGTATATGCGTCGTGCGAGTGCCAGGACGGTAGATGTCTTTCCGGTTCCGGGAGGTCCATAGAGGAGAAGATGTGGTAATCGCTGCTGGAGTCAGCGAGGAGCCTTCGGACAGGGCAACAACCTTACGTTCGAGTCGACGAATTTGTTGATTGTGGCTATGATGTCTTTGTGGCCTTCTACGTCGTCGAGAGACGCTGGTCGGTACTTTTCTACCCTATGCAAACTTTAGGAAAGGCTCGATCGTGCTGCATGCAGTCACATACCATGGCAATGTGTCTTCAGCTTCTACAGGCAGATTGGCGGCGCTCCGCTTGCCCTTTTTCGAGTCTCCGCCAAAGCTGATGGACTTGTCGACAGGCGCATCAACGTCCATTTCATCTTCAATGTCTGACATGGTGAGAGACTTAATTTGTGTCAATTCGGTGTACTTTGTGTGATGTATGATTTTGAGGTCAGGTTCGAGCGGTGAGTGCAGGGATACTGCAATGTGTAGGATGCTGGGCTGGTGCTAACAAAGTCGGGGCAGACGCGCCGCGTGAAGAGACGCGTTAATTGGCGGCGGCTTAGTCACCCCCGCCCCACGGCTCAGCCCTACGAGCACACCTCATACAGTCGGCCAGCGGAGCTACGCCGTCACCTCCGCCAAGCTCAAAGCACACGACCCAGAACAACAATCTGCGGGCGCCCACATTCCAAAATGCCTGTGAGTCTTGAAATATTGCAGACAGACGAGTGCTGTCGAAGAAAATACCCCAGAAACACCATAACAGCTGACACCCCGCCAGGCCTACCACTCAGTCTTCCTCGATGAGCCCAACCAGCAATTGATTGGTAGGACTCTCCCATTCGACTTGGATGGGCAGACCCTGATTGACTGCTACAACAGGCAACTTTGCCCTCCTTCCTCTTCGCACACGCACTCGTGGGCCCGCTGTCCAATTGCCTGCTCTGCCCGCAGACGTCACCGAGCTCACCATTGAAGCCTCGCACGATTCCTACGACCCCCTAGACGAGGTCCTCGCCCTGTTCCGTGCCAACACATTCTTCCGCAACTTTGAGATCAAGGGACCAGCCGACCGTGTGCTCATCTATGGTATTCTCTATGTGAGCGAAGTGTTGGGCAAGATCAAGCCCAACATGAGCCGGAGAGAAGCTGAGAAGGTACGTGGGAGCTGCGACAGGAATGTGGAGCCGATACTTACTTAATTAAACAGGCCGTCATGAACTCCGCTCTTGATACAAACTTCGCAATTCCCGGTGATGCTGGATTCCCACTGAACCAGGCTTTCGAAGCGCCTTCAGACAGGAACTCGGCCGAAGTGCTGCGACAGTACATCATGCAGATGCGCCAGGAGTTGGCAACACGGTTACTCAACAGGGTATATGCAGACGATACCAACACCCCTAGCAAATGGTGGCTGAGCTACACAAAGAGAAAGTTCATGGGCAAGGCTTTGTAGTTGCTGCAGTATAGTTCCGAGGGCATTTATCATCTTCGAGCTTTGACAGTGATAGAATCATGGTTTGGTTCCTCAAGTGTTCAAGTACCCATATGACTCGTTTCAAAAGCTTGCGTGCAAATATTCGTGTTGTGTCAAAAAGTATCATCCTTCCATCCCTGTGTGTCTCACTCGTATGCTAGCTTGTGTGCTTGCGTTTGCATGTTTGACCAGGCAGGCGCAAACAATTGCCTGCTGGTCTTGAAATTCACTTCACTCTTTGTCTTTATCTTTATCCTGCGCCGCCCACTCTCCCCACCACAAATCCTCGACATCCTCAGTACAGCAGTATTACTGCATTGAACACCATCATTAACCATGGCTTGGATAGGACTTGGTCCCAACCCGCAGGCCGCTGTACAGTCATTGACAAAATATGAGGGTATTTCAGTTCCGCCTAGAAAATGTGAAGCATATCAAAAAAAACTGACGGATTGTAGAAGACTCGCCAGAACGGTGCGAATCGCCCTTGAGGAAATATTAGTGGTAATGTTGCATCTAACCAGAACGACAGGCAAGATGAGAACAACACAGTGTGCCCTGAGGACGAGCTCGCTTTGCTACCATATAGTACGTTCACATTGGACCTCCCTGCACCTTGATGGCGTGTATTTTATGCAAGCACTGACACAATACTGGTTAAAGTGCCACCACTCTTCGGCTGCGAACTTCCCCCCTGTGGTCTTATGCCCCAACTCGCATACCAAAACGTTGTTCAGCGCCTCCGGAAGTTGTGGCTTCTGCACGCAAAAGAAGACCCCACCGAGATTTCCCTCACGCACATCTGCGAGCAAGTTTTCGACGACCTTCTGGATGAGTCTGAGAAGTTGCCATTCGGAAAAGCGAACAAGATCACGAGACGCACGCCATGGCGACGCGAACAAGTCTTCAAGTTCGAGCGTTGTTGGGCGCACTACTTTGTTCTTGAGGCAAGGCGTATGAATGAAAGGAGCAGGATGACAGCGATGGAGCGGGAGACGCAGGATGTGCATTTCGAAGAAGAATATCCCATACCGACAACGCTAGGTATTCATGTTAAAAACCACGCGAATAGAGAGCATCTATGCCAGTTGTGGAGAGAGTGGCACAAAAAGAAGAGACGCCCTGTACCGATACTGAATCTACAAGGAAGCGCTGCGGCAGTGGGAGACAAAGCGGGTAGTATGCAGGATGACTCAAAGGAGAGTGGAGAGACAGAAAACGACTCTGTCATCTAGGCACAGGGCATGCTGTCTCTGGCCCAGGCAGAGTGATAGGTCCTGCATGGCCATGTCTTGAACCACTGGAGTAGCCGACGTGTAAATTCTTTCGGACAGGATATACATGTATTGGTTGCAGTTTTAAGGCAGGATTGAACATAATACGAATGATTGTTGACATGGCCCGCTATCCGTGTGTCGTTTTCTCTTGTGCATTGTAGAATTTTGGAGAATTCAGGATACGAATCACTAAACAGTACACACAAATATCTAGACAGCAACATTGTCGCCTTAGGTTGTGAGATAATTAAATCCTTCTATCTCGGCAAATCTGCCTCACATGTGTTGCCGCAATGCCTTGTGTCTAGGTCACTCTCTCCAAAGGTGAGGCAAATCAAGGATGAGGGCAGGGCCCTAGCCTCATCGCAGTGTTGCAGGCTCACCTTCACCGTGAGGCTTCTGCATTGCTCTGTTCACGCCGCACCACTACTGATCTAGTGATATAAAGTTGCCCCTCCTCACATAACCATCCATCCCTCTTTCTCTCTACTCAACCTTCAACTGACACTCAAGTCACCTTTTCTCATCCTACATTATCTGCATCGCAGTGTGCACCAACTACCTCAAACAATATCACAACAATCGGTGAGTGGTCTCCTTGTTTACGTGCCCTATTGCTGTTACTTATTCGACAACAGCTCTTCATCCCAAACCGTCAAGATGCCCAAGTGGACTCCCGAGCTAGACGCGATTGTAAGTAAATCATGCACCACTTCAGCTCCCTATGTCTATTTCCGCAGTCACTGACGCGCCTTTCAGATCCTCCATGGTGTCTTTGAGGAGTGCAACATCAGCTTCTCAAAGTCCCTCTGCATCAAGATCGCTGAGCGAGTCAATGATGCTGGGGTCGGTATGTTTGTTGTCCTTTCCAATACGCGTTTATCGCACTCCTTTCTCCACACCCCTTATCCACTCGCAGTTCTGATGTTTCTGTTCCAGAATGCACTCCCAAGGCTATTGAGAATCGCTTGTACTCTTGGAAGAAGAAGAACGTGTCGGGCGCTACAGGCTTGAACTCTGCTACGAGCACTCCCGTTCAGGCACCCGCCACTCCCAAGACACCGCGTTCTCGTGTCAAGGCCAAGGCCGAAGACCCCACGACACCTTCGCCCTCTATCAGAAAGCGCAAGGCTACTAAGCTCAAGACTGAGTCTGCTGAGTCCCAGTCTGAGGAGAGTAGTGGGCTTGATGACATGCTCGCTACCAAGAAGAAAGTGAAGACTGAGGCTGTTGAGGAGGAAGTCACTCTCGATGTGTCTGCCGAGGAACAAGTCTGAGTAAGTGGTATCCTTCACTGAGCGCTTGTTTATGTGATTTCGGATGCACGACTCAATCGTGAGGAAATGAGTTTTCAGGAGAAAAGTTGAGTGCTTTGTATGCTGGAGGATTCTAATTTTCGTCGTGGTGTATCGACCTAATCTGTCGTTGCAAACAGCACGTACAGCGATTGAGGCAGATGCACACATGAATTAATACAACATGTCATGGGTCTTTGATCAATGTCTCCCACTTTTCTCTCTACTTCACTTCCGAAAGTGCATGGTTTCCCTTTTATCCGCATGCCCATGACAACATTGGCTTCTTGTGCACTCATCACCTTCATTGTGACTCAGTGCCTTGTTCTGCATGCTATCCTCTGAACATCTTCTCTATTCAAGAGCTAATCTCAGCAACCTGTACTCAACCATGGTAATGCGTAGAGCAAGTCACATCTAGCCATTACATGTAGATAACTTACATGCAATTCGAATTCAATACCTCGGCTGGGTGGCGATAAGAAGTCGAGCGGATGTAGGCTGCAATTTTGTGAATGCTCACCTAGGTCTGGTATGAAAGCTCATGTGTAGCACGTCATATCTTCTGCGAGAGTATCAAAATCTGCTAACGCACCTCTCATACTCGTATATGTCGACTGCGGTGGCTGAATAAATCACCCAAGGCTGTGCTGGCATTTTCATGTCTACGGATGTGGCTGAGCAGCCATCGCGAGTGCGCCTACTTGCTCGCTAAACCCTCTACACCTGCTTTAAGGCTGCCCGCGGGATCGACACCTTACCATTTTGTCAGCGACTTGGCCCCTCTTCTCGCGTTATCGAACACCAACAATTCCCATTGGCTCCTAACCGCCCACATCAGCCGCAGCTAACGGTGGGGGCTGTGCATCCATCAGATGAACCGGTGTGACTCTGGTCACCACAACGGGTTTATCAGGCAGCCATGCTGCTCAGGCACCCGCTCCTCGTGAACGCTTTTTCAGCTCAGCCAAAACCAACGCCTTGCCTGTCCATATCCCCTTTTCTGATATCATCCATCGACCTATACGCAAGCACGAGACCATAATGACGAAGTCAAATAAGCACGGAAAGAAAGAGCTGAATCTTTGGCGAGAAGCTTACAAGGCACTCTATGCTGATGGCGCAGAAAAAGAGCATATGCAAAAGGTCCAGGCAAAACTGAGGAAACGACTCAACCAACCAGATCTGGATCTCAAGACTGACGAAGGATACAAAGTGATGCTATCGTTTATCAATAAACAAGGAAGCAAGCTGGAGTCAAAAAAGCGTCCGGAGAGATTCGACAGGTTGTCGCAAAACATGGGGATGATTAAAGAGTTGTTCGGGGCGGGTGCAGCAGTCGGTGGTCCATATGTGGCTATCCCCGTTGCCGCCTTGTTCATGGTTTTCTCCGTATGATAGATTACGCATGTCCCTGACTTTACATACAAGCACTCTAACATCCCAACCAGATGGAAGAAATATACACGTCAGAGAAAGACGCCATGATAGATTTGGCCGAGGTTGCGTCGGATTACTATGTTTATACTGCCAAAAGCCACGAGCGTGTCAGTATACGGCCCGAGGATGATGACGACATGCAAAGATTGAAGCAGAAGCTGCGCGTCGTCTATATTGGTTTGTTCAAAGGAATCATGTTTGCATCGGCGCAACTGGCAAACTTCCTATGTGACGACTCTGCGCCCAAGAAATGGTTCAAGAATGCAATGAAGATGTACAATTGGAGCGAGCAACTCCAGAATCTCAACAAGCGCTACGAGATGAGCCAGAAATGCTGTGACGAGATGGTCTGGCGTCTGACACTTGGCCCGGCGCCGAAGGCAGAAACCAAGGTGTCAATGGGGCCTGGTCCGCGTAATGCTTTACACTGGGCAGTCGCAGACAAGCTATATACCAGGATCGACGAACTTGTGTCGAAACAGGAATGTCCCATCAATGCCCTTACACCAAAGCGTTGGACCGCATCACATCTGGCGGCGGAGCACGGCGACACCAAGATCTTGCGGACCTTGCGTTCCGTACCCGGTATCGATATCCACATCAAGAACGTCGACGGCCGCACACCTCTTCACATCGCCGCGCTAAACAATCGCGTTGGCGCCGTAAAACTGCTGCTGGGATGGGACCACAAGCTGCTCAACGCGCGCGATAACAAAAACCGCACCGCATACTTGCTCGCCGCCGCAAAAGGCCACGTCAAAGTGCTCGAGGTGCTCAAGAACAAAGGCCAAGATATGAACCAGTCGACGCTCAAAAACGGGTGGACAGCGCTTCATCTAGCAGCCGAACAGGGCCGCGTCGACGCAGTCAAGTTCTTGCTCGAAAGTGGTGTCCGCAAGGATACTCGCACGACGGCCGGCGCATCAAAAGGCTGCACTGCAAAGCAAATCGCCGAGTTCAAATCTAAACCAGATGTTGTTGCGCTGCTTTGATAGAAGATACCTCGGTTCGGACATAGGGTGTCGAAAGCAGCACATACTGCGGTACACACGATTAATTCCTTGTCCGTTTCACAGATTGACATCTCCACTACCCACCCAGTCAACCATCCGGCATCTTTCCGCAAGGAAAAGATAAGCACTATGCGCTCTAGCTCCCGCGATTCCGGATTCCCATGCGTTGGACGATACAAGAAAAAAAAGCAAAGGAAAAAGTCCGGAGAAGAAGTTTAACATAACCCACGGAACTATTTTTTTCTATTTTGGCACGTCTGGCGGTAGGCAAGCAGGGGGGTTGGCACGCTGGGCCCCAAGTTCTAGATGCCACGGCGTTAAGAGTCGCAGAGGAGACGCCAATTTGCTTGGCTTGTATGCGCGGGCGCCCCGGCTTTTGCTCACAAATACGTGGGTGCTGATTGGGCGGTGTGGGTTGGGTATACTGTACTTCAAACAGTTGTGTGGGTAGGTTCCTGGGTGTACGTTGCTCGACATGTGAAGAGACGTTGCCTTTCTGACCTTCTGCGTTGAGGAATAAGTGAAGAGGTTTATTTCACACCACCAACCTATGAAGACACAGAAGCTGGTAAACGTCAAAAGTGTAGTTATAGCATTATCCTAGCCCTTATGACGTGCATTTTCCGACCGCACACTCCATGCGTTTCATGCGATATTTATAGGTGCCTTTTTTTGCTTGGATGCTACATCGTACTTTCATTTAAACACTTGCATACAGTAAGTCTTGGTGTGTATACAGCAGCCTGGCATGGGGGGGAATGATGGCGATGGGGAAATTCCGGGCCTTGACGTTTCGATGGGGTGGTTGCAGCGGGGAAGGCGAAATGTATGTTTTGTTGAAAAAAAAGAGGATTAATCCTGGTTCGCCTCCGGCCCGGCCGAGGGAAGTGGGAGGGAGGGGCCTGCACAACATCGATTCGACTGCTGTTTAGAGTATGATGAAAGGATGCACATGCTAGGATGGTGCCGCATTTTCCCTCTCTCTCTCTCTTTGGAATAAGGGGGCTAGACATCCGTATTCTAGTAAAGCCGCGGTAAGTTTTTCGATAGTAGTAATGTACTGTGCGTCTATCTATTTATCTGACTACCTAAGAATAAACTTTGTTGTTTACCTGACTTGGCACCTTGATGACATGTTTCTACTCTGGAGTTGATACCATGATAGGCATACTGTTGTAGGGAAATGGTTAAAGGGTGTGGCGCACCGTCGTAGGTTAGCGGGAGTGCAATCTCCGATCCCTGAGTTTAGTCTCCACTACTACCAAAACAGACTTGATTGCAAGTCAAGCCTATCTCGTGTATGTAGTCGCCCGACGGAACCTACTGAGCCACGATCTTGCTGATGATGGCGATAGTATTGATGATGATGTTATCTTGTGTTGGTGGATGTTCCATCTGCCTAGCTGAGCCTCAGAATGGTCAGCAGACTAGAAGGTGTTCGCAGCAGCAACACGCACGAGTGGCAATGATACAGTCATGCGTGAGACTGATGCTGGCAATGCAACGAGCAAAAAAGGTCAGCATAGCATAGCAAAGTCGTAAGTAGCCCGGCCTAGTCCCGGAGCCCACACAGTCGAGTCAGGCACCTACTTTTGACGTTATGTCGCGCGGGCCGAGCGACCATGGCTCCGCTGTCCTAGACCTGGCCCACACCTGCAAGACAGGGGGGAGGGACCGCGAACGTACCTGGGGTTCTCTCTCTCCTCCAGCGAATCCGGACCACTTTTGTTTTGATTAAGCGTTACACGATTCGAGGAACATCCAGGAAACAAAGGGCGTGACATCTTTCAAGAGACCGGGTGACAAGAGGGCAGCAAGAGGCACGTGTAACGGGAAGATGGTCCTGGGGAAGGATGTTGGCATAGTAAGGAACAATAAGTGAATACGTCCGAGATGGCGCTAAGCCTTTGCGACTTACTAAATTTTCCTTTTCCCCTTCTTGGCTTAGAAACAAGACCTTGTACGCATGGAGAGCAATCTGCGGTGGCGCTGGTCGTTTGACCGAGGCGCGCAGAAAAAAAGTGGTATAAGAGACTCGTGGATATCTTCGTAGACTGAACTCTATCCTCACGCCTACTCGACTTTGCTCCTCACCGCAGACAATCTCCACAGCCTTTAACTTCGAACTCTCGAAAAACCGACAATATGCGCTTTACATCTGTACCGTTCGTTGCCCTTGCGGCTGTTGGCGTAGTCAACGCCCAGGGTTCTCTGGATACCTGGAGCCCAGCTGGTACCGGCGACTGTAAGTTTAACTATATATTTCAAAAAAAATAGTACCTAACGTCTTCCCCAGCTCGTGGACCCTGCCCCATGCTCAACACCCTCGCCAACCACGAATTCCTCCCCCACAACGGCCGCAACTTCACCCTCGACATCCTCAAGCACGCCCTCAAGACTGCCCTGAACATCAGCGACGACGTCACCGTCCTCCTCCACACTGCGGCTCTCACCACCAACGCTGGCGGCTCAACTTGGGGCCTGGACACCCTCAGCAAGCACAACATCCTCGAGCACGATGGAAGTTTGTCGTAAGTCCCCTCTAACCCCCAGCCCCTCCAACATCTCACGCATTCCTATATGTATGGATGAAATGGGAAGATATGTACTGACGTACGCAAAAGTCGCCAAGACAACGCCCTAAATGGCGACTCCACCTCCTTCAACGCCACCATCTACGAGCGCACCCGCTCCTTCTTCACCGCCCCCACCATCTCCCTCCAAATGGCCGCAAACGCCCGTCTCGCCCGCATGCTCGATTCCCTCAAGAGCAACCCGCAATTCTCCATCACCCTCCCTGCTGTGGGGTTCAGCCACCTCGAGACTGCCATCTACATGATTGTATTCGGAGACCGCAAGGAGAAGACTGCAGTAAGGGAGCAGGTCGATTTCTTCTTCGGTACGTTTTTTCCCCCCTGATTTTTTCCCCCCGTCTTCGAAAGTGTAAAGGAAAGGATCAAGGCTAATGATAGAAACAGAAAACGAGCGTCTCCCTACTGAACTCGGCTGGAAAACTCCCAGCACCGTTATCTCGGGTGCGGATGTCAAGGAGTACCAGAGTCTTGTTGTGGCGAATACCAAGTATCAGGCTGATATCATGGGTCCTTAAATCACCCCATCTCAGCTCAGTAAGCGTTAATGTTAACGGGGATTCGGGGTGGGGCTTTTTCTTTCTTTGTGGATATATATATATATAACGTGTTTCACCACCGAGCGGGCCACCCCACCGAATGGGCCACCTCTCCACACTATTACACCTTTATAATAGTATTGCGCAACACCACC